TGAATTTATCAATTTAAGTATTATATAAATATTTTAGATTATTAAAATAATTTATATTAAATAATTAAATCAAATAATTTGAATATAATAATAAATATATATATTTAATATTATTTTTTTTATAATATACTTAAAAAGCTTTTGATTTATAATTTTTATATTTATCTAATATTAATATTTGATATTTGTTTTTTTTTTTATTTTTAGTATATTTATTGAAATGTTTCAATTATTCTAAATTTGTTTTATTATTTGTTTATCTATTAGATATAGATTTAATAACTTAATCTATAGGAAAATCAATTTTGATATATTAATTAAAAAAATGAATCTATTCTTGAATTATTAGAAATAGGGATATAATTTTATTTTCTTTATTATTATATATAATCGCTATAGTCTATTCCCTATTATTTAATTGTATTATCTTATTTCTATTATTTTGTTTAATATTAATTATTATTATTCTAGGGTATATTATATCTATTATAAAGTCCATTTTATTGAAATTATAGAAATTATAATCAAAAATATTATATTTTATTTATATATTCGAAATTAATTAAAATTATTTTTTAATAAGTTTAGGATTTTTATAAAAAGCTTTTTGAAAATTATAAATATAATTAAAATATATCTTTAATTTAATTCAATACTTTATAAATCAATATATCCAGAGCTTTTCAATATATTTTATATCCCTCAATTTAAAAATATAATTTGCTATATTTTTTATATTCTTTAATTTTAATAAAAATTCTTTTGAATTTATATCGAGTATATATTAAATAATCACTTTTTCTTTTAATTCTATAATCTTATAATTATTGATTCGAGTTTTTATATAAAGAAATAAACCTTTTATTTTATATTGAAGAGTTATATAAGGAATATTATAAAGTATAATAGTTTTTTAAATACTTAGTTTTTTATTTTTATAAATAGATTTAATAATAAGAAATATACAAGCTTTTTGATTATTCGAATTTATTATAGATTATTAATAAAATGTGTGTTTAAAGAGAAAGGTGTAAATTGAGATAAAAGTGGGCCACTCGGTGATATGGGTTACTCGGTGTTAAACTACGTTATAGGAAAAGAGGAAGGGGTGTTTAGTATTTAGTTTAATGGAAGGGCTATTGGTTAGTAAAAGATATATAAAAGGTTTTCTATGATTTTGAAAATGTAAAATGGGTATTAAAAGAATATAACAAAAAGGAAGAATTATTAATAAAAATTTTGAAAAAAAGAAAAAAGAATACTACAAAATAATAGGATTATACTATATATTTATCTAAGGGTTATTATTATTATATAATTGTTGAAGTTATTCTTTTTTTCATTGTTTTTTATTTTGATAAAAATAAGAATATAACCTTTTATTTGTTGATATATTATATATAATTACTAAATGAATTATTTTCTTTTAATATTTTTTAATAGTTTTTGATTTCAATTTATGAGTTTCGGTGTTAGTGTTGACCAAATTCTTATTAAAACTAAATTAACGGAATTAACACTAAGCTTTTTATAATACTTTATTTTATATAAAAGTTTGTTTATAATTATATAAATATAATATTATAAAATTATTATTATGATAATTTAATAATAAGATTTTATAGCAAAAATTAAATCTTTAATATTATATCCCCAAGATATTTACTAAGGAAAAAAGAATCCTAAAATAGATATTATTTATATTATTATTATATTGCTTTTCTGTATTTATTAATATATCAATTTTATTTTTATTAATTTATTCTTTCTTTTTTTCGAAAATATTATTAATAAATTAATTCTTTAATAATTCAATAATAATATTTTATTATTTTTTATAAAACTAATTAATATTTTTATTTTTCTATTAAAACCTTTTTAAAAAAACCTATTTAATTGTTAGATTCTTTTATATAAACTTTTTGGTTTAAATCTAATATTTTTGAAATAGAAAGAAAATTTTTTATAATATTTAAACCCTAATAACTAAATATAAATAAATCTTTAAAAATAAATAATGAAAATTTTTATTTAAAAAACTTTAAAGAAGTTTTGTAAATAGAAGAAAGGGAAATAAGAGAAATAGAATGATAAAGTATAAATAATAGATTAATAATAATATTATAATATATTAAATATAAAATATCATAAATATTATTTAGAATTTTAGAAAAGATAATAATATATTATAAGGTTTCTAAAATTTAATAAAGGATCTGAGTATTTTTATTATCCTTTTTATTGTTTTTATTGATATAGGATTCATTTTTGTTAGATTTGAAAGAGAAAAGAGATTCTTTAAAGAATTAAATTCTATATTATTTATATTTCATATAATCCTTAGAAATAGATATATCTAATGTTTTAATAGTGGGTTGATAGTAAATTGTCACGCTAAAAGTGACGCCACCAATAGTCTTAGGCTAATTGGGTTTATATAGGCTTAATTCTCCCGTGACATAAATATAATTTTTTGAATTAATTATTATATATAGTATACCAAATTAAAGAATTACAAATAAAACAACTAATTATATAGATACTATAGAAAATTTTAATCCAAAAACTGAGTTTGATAATAACGATATGTTTATAAGGATTGTATGATTATAAATAATAAAAGCCATAAATTCATTTTTGTAATCAAAATCGGCCGCGGAAATAAACTTTGTAATAAAACTTGATACAATAGCATTCAAAAGAAATAAAGTATTCTATATATTTGATAAATTAACTCTATAAATCCAATATTTAAATAAAAAAGAATCAATCACAAATCAATAAGAATCCACAAAGCATTCTATCAAATCGCTAAGTTAATCTAATCTATTTACCACCAAGAGACCCAACTCCTCCGCTGATTGAAGCTTATAAATACCCTCATACTTAGCCTCTTTTTAGAACCTGGTATAATAGTATTCAAGAGAGATAGGGCATTTTGTACATTCGATAGGTTAGCTTTGTAAATCCAATGTTTAAATGAAGGAGAACTGACCATAGATCGATAAGAATCTATAAAGCATTTTAAGTCGATTTAATTTATTTATTGTTAAGAGATCTAACTCCTTTGTTGATTAAGGTTTATGAGTATTTCTATACTTAGTCTCTTTTCACAAAAAAACCTTTATGCTCTTTATATATTATTCCCTCTGTCGGATTACAACCATATTGTTCGCAGCTTTCTTTATACTATTTATCAGAGTATTATTATAATAAATATATATTTAATATATAAAATTAATATTAGAAATATATTAAAAAGATATTGGAATGTAGACTTTCTTTTAACAATAATAATAATTATAAAAAGTATAAGAACTATTATCGAAATAATAAAAATTATTAAAAGAAATACCAATAATACATTTAAAGTAACTGTCACGGCGCCAACTACATGTTCTGTAGTTGCCTTCGTGCCTCAGGCATAGACCACTAGCGTGCCCTACTTCTTATAAGTAGGGTCTCACTCTTCCATAGCTCTTCTACCCTTATAGTACAATATAAGTCTTTACTCGTACCTTGACAGTAACAAAGATAAATGAAGATAATTAACCCTACTAAACTAATAGCTAAATATAATATAATAAATATAATATTACTAGATTAAAGAATAATTATTATAAAATAAATAAAACTTAAAAAGGATTATATTATTCAAATAAATATATCTTCTAAAAAAAAGAGATTTCTTTTATAAAGAAATATAATAATCTATTAGTAAAGTAATAAAATATATAAAAACTATTTATTTATATATTAAATTGTTTATAGTATATAAAAATATTGGAATTTTCTTTTGGAAATATAATAAAGGTACAAAATATATTATAATGTGATTATATACCGTTTAAATAGTTTTAGGAGATAAACAATTATTTTTTGAAATACGAAATATAAAAGAAAGGAGTTTTATTATGGTTATAAATTAAAGGGCTCTATTAAGTATATAATAATAAGCCCTTAGACCTATTATATATTAAAAAGAGTTTATATATATATATAAATTATATAGTTTTTATAAGTTTAGAAGAATTAATGAAAAGTCTTTGTACTACATTTCACTTAGTTGATTCATTGCTAGTATCTATTCTAACACACTTGATGATAAATCACATTACAAAATTTATTTATATATAACTATATACTTTCTTTATTTATAAATATAACTTTCTGAAAATTTGATATAAAATATTTGAATATAAAATAATTTTAAAAATCTAATTAGTTTTAAGAAATTTGAATTTATAAAATTGTTATTATAAAAATAGTTTTTTTATAATAAAAATTGTAATAATTTCCTTTCTTTTTTAGAAAATAATAAAATTATTTTATAAAAATTAGATTAATAAAAAATCTATATTTTAATTATTTTTTAAGATTTTTTATTCAAGAAAATAATAATTGATTATTAAAATATTAATATTTTAAAAAGCTTGATTTAAATAATTTTCGAAATGATTTATTCATTGTTATAATCTGTTTACTAATAAACCACGTTATATAATAACATAATACAGCTTAGTAAGTAAAGAATGAAATAATAACATTAATGATATCGACTAGTACCTAGGTATACATGTGGTATGATAGGTAGTGAATACTATCATTGTCTATACAGAGTGAAGTCTACAATGAAGAAATAAAAAGAATTTAATTGGTTGAATGCTTAGAGCCACGGGTAGCTAAGGACGAACCATTCGGGAAAGCCATGCGTCTACGTACGTGCCTATACACGTGCCAATCCACGAGCCGTGCCTTCCTCTTCCAGGCGCTAAATTTATTAATAATCCCTAGACCCCGCAAAAATGGTCAACAAATGCCATGATCAAGATATCTTCACAATCGGTACTCGTACAATCTCATAATCTCCCCACTACTATCTTTATCAACAAGCCATCGACTCTCAACAATTCCAAAGTTGATGATACCTTCAATACGTTTGACAATATTTGTTGCCCTACATCACGTACATCAATAGTATCAACGTCATTCAAAGCACAATGTCAAAATCATCAAACCCTGGCGATATTGACAGAAACTCCAGAGACAATCAATCTGATTCCGATAACCCGTTCATTCGTTTCAGACACTTCGCCGATGCGCAAATAGGTGCAGTTCTACAAGGATTCATCGGTCTGCCATCAGCATTTTCAAAGCCACAGAGTGATTCACAATGGTCCGTATTCGATGAGGATTTGAAAAGAAGAATTGCGAGGCGGAGGGAATTGAAGGAAGCCGAAGATTCAAGAAGTGAGGATACAGCAATGTCGGAGGGTGAAGAAGTCCAAATATCTGTAAAGAAGTCACAAACTACACATGGCGACGTAGACTTCGTTCACTTCTTACATGACCAATGGTTGAATGTTTTCGGAACTGGCGATATTCCGCTATATTCGCCTTTACAATCTCCCTTCGCCAACCCTTTCTCTGGCAACCTTAGGCATACCATGAGTTCTTTCGCTGCGATGATGTTATACAAAGCCGATCCGGATGATTACTCACTAGTGCCTTATCTTTTCGGATCGCCGTACTCGCCGCTGTTCTTATCTTTTAATCAATCTATCTATGCGCATCACCAGTTCTACGATGCGCAAATCAGAGGTACAAGAACGTATGACAGACCGCGTGGGGCCACTCCCCGGGACGACTTTCCATATTGCGAAGCATTTGAAGACCTACTACTTATCAGCCAGGGAAAGACTCGCGATACAGACGTTCCAGTCGGCTGCAATGAAAGAACAACTACCGAAAGACCCGAAAGTATCACTTCGACAGTGGAGAATGGATTGGATTGGATTGAGCGACTTCAAAGACTAGGCATACTTAATCTGCCTAGCTCAGAGTTGACCAATATTTCAAAGGAGTCTCCCTCATCTGAAGAACTTGGCGCCAGCAGTCGAGGCGCAGCTTCGCTTGTCTCTCAGAATAAAGGGTTCAAGAATAATGCCGAGACCGAGGAACAAATGTATGAGAGTTTTCTTCGAGATGCATCTACGACGCCTGATCAATTCTTCACCACGCTTGAGTCCACCCTTACAGCAGTAGAAAAAATGATGAAGGGTAAAAGCGTACCTTTCGAAGAATCTCGTCGGTCAAGTTCCTCGGGCTTGCAAGAAGTCATCAGCATGAGTGGCAAATCACTTTCGGAGCCCATCGGATCAAAACGAGAAGTGTCTTCAAGCTCAACCGTTGAGCATTTTACCAATGAAGATGGAACTGTAGAAACGACGATCCGTGTATGGAAAAGATTTGATGATGGAAGTGAAACAGAAACAACGTCTAGTCATACAGTTGATAAAGCAGGGACCCGACATTCCGATATTGATAGGTCTGATTTTGACTTTGAGGGTTCTCAATCTCAGCAGAGAGCGGAGGCTGATGATCAGGAAATCAGATCGCGAGTCAAAAAGAATACAAAGCCTGGATGGTTTTGGAATTGAATGGTTGGATCAGCAGTGGGTACATGGGCTCGTGAGATTACGAGAAACTTTAATTCGATGATAGTTCTAAACTACTATCTCAAGGATTCTGAGACCTGCAAAGAATACCCGTTATGGATCAAGGAATCAGACTGTATGTTTGCTTTTTACGGGAGTCGGATGAGATTTGGATAAATCATGATTTGTTATAACTTTGGGGGCAACTCTCACAAGTCCGTGCACCCACTGATGGATAACTAGGTATTATGCGTTAGGTTTGTATATCATGGGTAGGGCAATTGGAGTTTATTGATTGGTTAAGAATGCAAATATCTCGTTTTACAATATAGCCTGCTACATTCGCCAATTTTTCTTATAAATACCAAGCTCAAGGAGACAAATGTTGACTAAATTTGTGTTACTTATTTGATTTTCATTACGGAATGGGGAATAATCATTGGAGCGGTGGATTTAAGGCGCATGACGCTATTGTACTTCTCCATGGGGAGCACTGCCCCTGTCTTGCATTCAAGGATCTACAAGTTATTCATAATCACCTTATATTTCCTACAACAAATAACTACCCACTTCCATGGCTCTCTCTTCTCAAACGCGTCCAGCTGTATCGAAAGTTTGTTGGACTAGCCATTTCATACATCGGAAAAGAAAGAAAAAGATACAAATATTAGCTCTTACCCCCAGTCACGCCGATGTCTCCCTCAAGAACCAGTGACAATGAATCAGTCGATACGACTAAAGCCCTATGGGCCAAGTATGGATTGGAACTCTATTGTGGGAAGATTTTGCTGATTTGGAATTAGAATGATGGGTGCAAACGAATATAGTGATTTCGTCATCAAATGTCACTCCCGAACATTCCCTGTCCATCGAATCGTCGTTTGCACACAATCAAAACCAATACAAGCTGCAGCAAATGGAGGGTTCATGGTTAGTCCTGTATCTTCAGTACATTTGAAAACCTCAACTAAGTGTTGTGAAATGTATATGTCCCCGAATTATTACTGAGACTGATACAGGAGTCTGTTACTGGCGTTCTCGATTTAGAGGACGATGATCCTGAGACTGTTGCGAGAATGATCAACTTCTTGTACCTTCAAGACTATGACGATACCTCTGAGCCGAGTGAAGAAGCTGGGGGGGAGGGTTATGGGCGTTTGTTAATCAATACTATGGTCTACATCATTGGCGACAAATACGATATTCAAGCTCTCAAAACCCTCGCAAGGAAAAAGTACGAAGCAGCAATAGTGACTGATTGGAACACGCCTTCTTTCTCAGCTAGTCTAGAACTTATATATGAGGAACTCCCAGAAAGTGACACCTCTCTGGCCTCCGTCGCCCTCAAAACTGCAGGAAAGCATTTAAAGGAGCTAAATGATAGAGGAGAATTTTCAGGCCTCTGCAAGAATAATCCAGAAATCGCTTACGACCTATTAACAACTATTACCTCGCAACCTACAGCAGTTGCATCACCAGGCAAGATGCACACGCAAAACAAAAAAGCATGTCCCAAAGGCCACACGTTTACACATCTCAATGATATTCATGCGATGTATGATTCGGATACCTGGAAATGGAAAGTCAAATGTCCGAATTGTGCGATGCAGAAGGTTTGTTATAGGGTGGATAATTCGTGTAATCTCGAAGCGAAATGGGATGCCCCGGATGTGGGATATTGGTATTTGTGATGGATGGGATGTGTCAGGGGGAGTTGGGTACCTATGTATGTATGGGATTTGGAAATTTGTGTTTTTATATTGTTGTTAGGATTGGGTTTGGGGCTTGGAATCGGTGTTTATGGTTGGGATGGCATTTTCGTAGGGCGTATCATATTGTTGGTGTACAGAGAGTATGGAAAATATACCCGAGATTGTGAGAATATTATTATTACTGTTGATACCTTTTTATCCACGGTCGCCGTCTGACTGATATTTGATAAACTGCATACAGCATTATCTCCAGTGCACTGGGTGTGTAATGCTGATGAGATCTCATATTCGCTAGCCATAACACAACCTATCTAGATATACAGGAATCGGAGAAGAGCAGGATAAGTCTCAGATGAAGTCTGTGATAATAAACTTAGAAGAAGTAGGGATGTGAAGAGGGTCCTCCCAAATTATACTTTTTACTGGATTTATCTTGTTAGTATGGGAGTTATTAGGTAGTGGTAATAGTTTGTTTTCGATGATTCATTCTGGGTTGGGTGTTGGATGGGTAGGTACTATTTGGATTGTTCTGTAGTGGGTTTTGCGGGGTTTACAATGTTATTTGGAAGTTTTGGGGAAAGGCTGGGTGAAGTGGGAAGGGCTTGGTGAGTTGGTGGAGTGGAATTGATGTGGTATGATATGGATAGTAGAGTACAGATCTTGATCTTCACCGTCGTTTTATTCCAAGTCCCGATGCTCATTGAAATCTCAAGTCTCGATATAAAATCTTACATATACCAAATCCGAGTATATATACACATCCCGCACTGCCTGCTAAAGAGTCTCGAATCTCGAATCTCATTTATCCCACCATCGTTTATCTATACATCCACCCCGCTGCGTTCCTCGCGTACCTACTTAGAGATTCGAATACATCAATCCCCTATCGTTTGTCATGGTCTTAAGTGGATGGATAGAATGCGTTCCGCGTGTGGTTGATAGATAGCTGGTTAGGCATCAAATATGTCAGTATCACTAATCTACCTATAACGCAGATCACATGGAGATGATAGAGAGATGCACAATGACGAGTTGATAATTTGGCTGCATACCCAAGTATACCAACTCACTAGTTTGCTGGTTCACTAGCTCACTAGCTCATAAACTATATCCCTCGTGGTCGTGGTTATGGCTGTGATTATTTCATTTCATTCATTTAAGCTTCGAAACTAAATACTGAAGTAGAATGAGCTAGGAGCGGGTAAGAGCCGAGCCGGGTGGATAGCGGTAGCGGGAGACTGAGTGGCTGTGGCCCTGTAGGTGATCCTGAGTGGGTTTGTGGAGTCGGGGGTCTTGGCTTGGTAGTGTGGTGGGGTAGGGTGCTCGTGATACTTTGGGGTTCTTGGCTTGCGATTGACTGCAGACTGCGAAGTTGAAGTTGAAGTTGGGTTACTGGCGGTTTGGGTTATTAGTTGATCTGGGAATGGATTGGTGCGTGGATATGAATTGTGTGAATTGATGAGTGCTAGGGGACTTGGGATGTGTGTGTGAGGATGTGTTTCTCTTCTAGATTATATATAACCAATATCCCTATATCTTACACAATCCCACATTTTATACAACCTCAATTTCACTACTATTACAACTTCAATATTTAATAATAATTAGAATTCATATGATATTAAATTGAAATTTTTAAATATATATAATATGATATAATTTTTTTATACAGAATTATAAAATAATCAAGTTTTAAATTTTATAGTTATTATAATCTCTTTTTTACTTACTATACTGAATTTTGGAAGTTGTACTAGGGTAAAAGTTCAGGCCAGCGATGATGACGATTGTTACTGGGTAAGTCCGCGGGTATCATAAATTTTGCAAGAGCTTGATATACACTGAGGGCCCAGCGACAGTTCTTGTCGGTGCTGATGAAACAACAGTAGGAGCGGAGATATTGTTCCAGCCCCTTGTGATAAGGGACTGAAGGCCAAAGAAATCCAGACTTTCCAGGTGTCTATATTGGAAGCAAACAGTGTTGCGAAAATGAGACAGCAAAACAGCGAGCACTAGGTCAGTGGCAAGGGGCTTCATTTGTTGTAAGACCTAGGACAAAGTTTTGTCAACAGACCTAATGGACTGGAAAATCGTTCGACTGGCCCGAGTAGCGATTTGTTAACGAAGTGCCTCAAGTTGATTTTTGAAAAGTTGGGCTAAGGTATTTGGTGTTAAGTCGTGAGGCAACGTCCTGGGGGATAGACCCGGCCTTGTAAACGCCAAAGCAAAGGTAAATAAATCAATGTGAAATTATACGGAATTTAAGTTGGAAAGGGGATTAATCCCCTCTATCAGCTTCAGCACCCTCCTCTACTGATCTTCCCCTTCTCCTTGGTCTTCTTCTTCTTTTTCTTCTTCCTCCTCTTCTTGTGTTCTAGTGAGATGCCACGATGTAATAGCTATTCTGGTTGAGGTGATAAGCTCTTTCGTAGAGCTTGTATTGTAATTCTTCATCCTCAAAGATCACTCTGCTCCTCTTCACCACTTACTTAAGTCTCAAGCCACTCTTCTGGCTACTCACTTGATACTGACAATCCCATCCATTCGTGAGAGGGCTCATAATCCTCAAACACTAACTCTGGTCTCATAGATGTATCGTTCTGATTAATTTGGCTAATTTGGTCAATTGCTATCCCAGGCCTCATTTCATCCGATGGGTCCGAAAGCAATGAGGCGGCAGATGCCCTTGCAGAGCTAGGAGTATTCGAACCCCAGCCGCGGCATAGCCAAGCGAGCCGTTCTACAGTCAGCGGGATTAGATCGATTGCCAAAGACCTCTGCCAACAATCACAACTAGAATGGTAGACTAAAAATGTCCTCAAACTATCATCGAATTACAAGAAGTGACTACCTATCCATACAATTAGAGCACTATCAGAGCTGGATCTCCCACGCTTCACACTACACCGATTCTTTGCAATCCGTGCAACACACGGAGACTTTGCTTCATACCATCGACGCATTCAATACATTGATGCCATACTGAGGTATCCATACAGAAATGCTAAAGCATCACTACATATAGTTCTATAACCACTCACTAGATGGTACTTCAACGAGTCGCTATTTGAACCAAGCACCCCACTACGGACTCAGTACAAGTAGTCAGATACCTCAAATGCTTAATCGCTAGGCCTTCGGACTTCCCTGCACTACTGAAACTTACTAGGTTCTATTCTAGACTTTGTTTCTAATCCCGTTCTTCGTTACTTTCTAATATAGTTTCTATAATCCCTCTTTATCGATAATTCTCCATCCTCTCTCTACACTTCCATCCAAACACCTATGGGCATATAACACCTTTCTGCAGCTTCAACTGCACATTCTTCTTCGCAATTTCGCAATGTATGTATAACAAATATATTTATGGCTAGATTGCAGATCATTGTAGGCTACACCTAAGCGTAATGATATGCCTATTTACCGGATGGATTTGTTGTCCATTTCTTAGCCTCAGGGCATGATATTAATCTATAATGCTTTGTATTTAAGGTTACTAAAATGCGGGGGACTTGCCAAGTCAATCAAAGGTATCTGATTTTGATTTTGATAATCTTTGGTTATAAATAATTAGGGTAAGAATAAATTGGAAATATAATAAAAAGAAAACTATATTCTATATAAAACTAAATTGAAAGTGAGAAAAAACAGCTTTTGGAAGGAGTTGGAATACGCCGTTTTCTGGTGTTTTAAGAGAAGGGTTGTGTAAACGCTGAGGCAATTTAGTAAGCGGCTGAGGCTGGGCCAGGCCTCAAGGTTGTCCATATCCTGTAAGTCTATAGTAAGTTCCAAGTTATACCAACATTCCTTCTTGCAAACCTTTTTACGTATTAAGGCGGAGCGTATTCACTTAATCCTTTTTCTGATCCTCTCCTGAAGTTAAGGTCGTACTAAATTACCAATCAGCAATGTGATGACAACCTCAATTGTACTCATAATTAGTGGATATAATATTATTCAATCCACCTAATCGCCAAAGACAAAGAGACCATGCTGAGTAAAACGATTCTCATTGCAGAAGAATAAAAGAACGAAGAAGGAACGAAAAATGAAGCTTCGCCCTGCTATTAGGTTTGGACCGGCCTTGGTTGAGGTAAAAAGTTTGTAACATGGCCTTGATTAAACGACCACACACAACTTGTCAAATATAAAATGTTGGGCTGTCCGATCAAGTTGCTTCATCAAACAATACTGGCATCACATCCTTCTTCGTTCATCGATCAGCTAGCTTCGCTGCAGATATAAATTGTATACGATTTATTTGTGTTATTTCGCTTTGAGTCTAGATAGTCTTATAATTAAATGCCTTCTCCACCTCCTTTATTTGATGAAAGCAAAAAGAAGAAGAAGCCTGTTTCCAGCACTGCAGGTCCTTCAGCTCAACCATCGGCATCATCTAGTAGATCTCAAAGAGAGCTTGAATTAGCCTTCCGAGGTGGTCCCCCTCCCGCACCAAGGGCAGCCAGAAGGGGAAGAGATGAAAAAGCGGACTTTCGCCAGCAACAGTCCCCACCACAGACGACAACTCGCAAAAATAAGCAACCCGCGCGCTCGCCTTCGCCTTCTCCAGTCAGAGGAGCACCAGACGTGCGAAGCGCCAGGGGCGATGAAGGTCAAAGAGTCATCAAGAAGCTTCTTGCGACTATGCAGAAGTATAAACCGAAACTTCACTTAGAATATGACTCTCAAAGTGAAGTCCTTATCATGAGAGGATCACTCGGGGTCTGTTCAGAGGATGATGCAATGCGTTATCTAACAGAAGTAAATTTTGAGTCATCAGCATATAAACTCGTCTACGAACATACGCCTAGACGTGACTATCGCTATTCGCTGCTTCTCGAAAACATGAAACAGCTAGACGGTAAAACTAAAAAAAGGCTCGCAGAGAATATGAATCACCAACTGGACAAACTCAACAAAAATGAACACGCCGTATATCTCCAGGGTTTTGAAGAGAAGCACAATAGACCGTTTGACCTGAAGGCACACTACAAAGAAACGTTGAAGCGAATACATTTCCAAATGGAAACAGCATCGGGCATGGAGGTATGGGATGAAAGCGATGGCAAACCTAGCGATGCCCTCGACCGTTTCGTAAATTCAAAGCCTCTCGTCTTGGAATGCATGCTCGCGATTAAGCTCTCATATCTTTGCATGTACAAGAAAATGCTTGGGGCTTCCGCACTCAACCAATTATTTGACGGTGTTCTACACAAAGTGTATGAAGACCTTCCACGCCAGTGGAAGAAGGGCGAGAGGAAATATTTCCACCTTAGTTACAACAGCATTCCAAGAATAACAGGCTACTATAAAGGGAGTTTCAAAAAAGAGAGACAAACAGTTGAATACGGGAAGTCGTATTATATTCAGGGTCCCCAACATGCATTTAATTTCCATCCGTCATCGGAAGCTAATGGATTTAACGTTTTGTACACGGGGAAGAATGAAGAGGGACAAGACGTCTTCCGTGGATTTGATCCCCCAGATCGTGCCGATAAGACACAGCAAGAGTTTGAAACTATGATGGAGAAAAAGTATCAGGAGCCGCTTACAGTGGAGGACTTGAGAATGCTGTGTAAACGTGAGGGCAGCGAAATGCCGCCGGATGGCGTCATGACATTTAGAGAGACCATGGATATTCTAAGAAAGGCGTACGGGAAGTCTCTTGATAAGGCGCTCAAAAATGCTAATAAAGCCAAGCCGGAGGAATATTATAAGGCTTCGGAACCAGAAATTTCTGTACCAGAGAAATACAATGAGCATCGTTGTAGAGGATTGGTAGCATATGTACAATGGATTTAGAGTCGCGTTATGGTTTTGTAGTTCCATTAGAAGGATATTGGATTTTGTACTCTACATGGATCTCGCCGACGAGGCTAACGTTTGTGAAACATTGTGCCACACGCGTCTGGCGTCCGGCCATCAATGCTAAGTAATCGAAGTTGTGCATATTTTATGGCGGTATCAAGTTAATGGCCGCTGTATAGGTGTGGATGGGTTGCTTCGTTATAACGTGGGTTTGCTCCGGAGAGTATGCGCATCATGGTGCACATGTTCACTTGACCGCGCTGATGCTTTCTGCGTCTTGTTACTCCTGTTGATAATTCAGATTAGACTTTGTTATCATTTATATAATCATTATCAATCTTTTCATCTGAAAGCAATCTTTACTTATGTACTATACAACCATGACTATTCCAGCTTCCTTACCCCAGCCTCATATGGAAAGTATCTGTTGAACTAGCACTATACTCGAAGTCATGCTTTGCAGCTGTCTCGATGTATAATCCAGCTATGTCTATTTCTGCTGTACTTGGCACTCACTCGTGTATAGAACCCCTTTTTCTGAGAAGAATACATATTTGCTGAATGCATCATGTGAGAGCTTCTTCTTGGATCTTGATGTGATAGTAGGTTCTAGGGTAGGAACAAACCCGTTTGAAGATGTAAGCGATGTTATTACGGACTCGAATACTGCTGAAGACGAGGAATTCTTGCTCATGCTAAGCTTCATGTATTGTTAGGGTTAATTAAAGTCTTTCTTTTTTATCAAAAAATATCAATAAATATCTTTATAAATAAAGATATAAAAAGCTATTTGATTTTTATGTTATTAATATAATGTAAAACAATTAATAATAATATTTATATTAAATTTCTTATAATTAATATAAGATTTAATACAAGTTTTGTAATCGATATTTTTTAAGGTTTGAAAAATTACATAAGATATGAGGTTATACAAGATGTAGGGATAACTTATCGGTTAATATATAACTATAAATTGTGATGTAAAGGTAATTAATCGATATTGCTTCTGAATCCATTCCCCACGTGATTGGTAGATGTGAAACACTCTGTAGAATTGTTTATAGGTTGGTTCGATTTAGGGGGTCCACGGGTTGCTAGTGTGAAATTAGTTTGTGGCTCACTTAAAGATCATTCTTTCTAGAATAGAATAGAAGTAGACCATTCTTTTAAAAACTAGATCTTCTCCACTACACATAATTTCTCATCGTCGTATATTTTGAAGTTTTCCCATCGAATAAGATGGACTTCGAGAAGAAAAACTTCGGAAAGGAATTCAGAAAAGATATCGAGATGTTTTGACATGATTGGAAAGTGATATGACTATGTGATGGTTATGATCTATTGGTAGGTGGGTGACTTTACAGAAAGTAGGTTGGAAAAAATCATCATTGATTGAATATACGTCTCTATTTTCCATCTCAAGATGTAGATAGGTGTCTTTCGGACTCTCCTGCTGCCTTGACATCTGCTCCGAAAAACTCGACAATTTTGGCCCAAGTAACCAACATAATAGACTCACCAAACTTCACCTCTACCTCCTCATTCTCATCCATCGAATGATTTCTCTCTATTCTTATAACCTTCGGGCCGATACAAGATACCTTCTTTTGCTATATCAGAATAATTCTTATTCCAAATCTCACTTCAATGTTATTGGATCAACAAGTATTTTCTGGAGAGTGGAGAACATCAGGATTGATTGGATGCTGATATGCATATGAGCTGGAGTCAGCACAGCCGGTTTGAGGCTGTATCTTCTCGAGCACTTCAAAAACCAGATAACCTCTCAATTTTATCTAACTGATTTTTCTTTCGATCATTGACAAACCCAGACTACATAACAACATGGCAGAGGTTCTTGGCACAGTTGCTAGTGGCATCGGTGTTGCTCAGCTGGCGGGCAATCTTGCTTCGAGCATCATCAAGCTGAAGGGTTATTGGGATGAAATTCAAGATGCGCCCAATGATATTAGCTTTCTGGCGCGAGAGATTGATTCCCATCATTTGATACTTCGAAGCATTCTTGAAAGCCAAGCCAACATAACTTCTTCTGGCAGGGCTTCGGACATGTTCCTTGAGCATAGTCTTAAGTTGTGCGAAGATTCTTCAAATGAATTAAACGAGCTTGTAAAAGCCCTTGGGAAGGAGATGAACTCTAGCAATAAATGGAGAAGCAAATTAGGTGCCACGAAGGTGGTACTGAAAAACGATCAACTTAAGAGATTGAAGAAGAGGATGAAAAATGCTTCAAAAGTGATGAATACCGCTATCACATGGCAAACAAAGTGAGTTCTGTCAGTGTTTTCTTTGCGAGACCGCGGGTTACTCACAGGTAGCAGTGCCACTCTCCAACAACAATTGCCAGTCTTCGAATTAAAAATACAGGCTTCTCTCGATCAGTTTTTGATAAACCATCAGAAGCTTATTCCAGTACCACCATTGCCGAGTCCAATCACCCAAATTTCCTCGATGAATGCTCTAGAGCCACCAAGAGGCATTACAACAATTTCGCAGCCACAGAGCTCCGAATGTCACAGCAATTCAACCCCACGCTTTGTGCCCAAAGATTGTACCTCCGCACAGATTTCTAGTTATGTATACTCGTCAAGGTGGTCTGTTTATTTAATGGGCTCTGTTGAAATTCGAAAGACACGGCAGCAACGGAATAGAAACCGGTTTGAGGAAACTGAGGCAAAATACAAACCCCCAGCATGGCTTTCAAATAGAGCGTGGCAATGTATGTACACCAAAGATCTATCAGCATTGAGATGGAACTTCAACATTCAGACTTATCGTACTTTGGACACTGGATCAGATTTCTACAAGGCCTTAATAGCTGGAGATGTTCTTGGTGTGCACAGGATGCTGGCAAATCGAACAGCTTTTTTGAACGATCGATTCTTGGAACCTTTTGGTACAACATTTTGGGAAACTACCACGCCTTTACATGTAAGCTTAACACGGATTTATTATGGTCTCGTTTAAATCAGTACTGACAGCTAACCTGATTTAGATCGCTGCCTTAAACGCTCATCTTGATTTATGTAAGTTCCTCCTGGTGGAAGGGGCAGATGTCTCAAGTGAGGGAGGTATGTACGGGTATGCTAACCAGTCTTACGTATCTAATCTCGAATAAGTCTACATGGCTAATTTTCAGTAGCCTAACACCATTAGAAGAAGTTGTTATTCTTACACAGCTTAAATCTAAACCCTCTCATCCTTTACTACTTGACATTGCACGAGGTCTCGTCGAAGCAGGGGCATATTCAGAGCTCATTGATCGAATAAATCTGCTAGTTATCAGTGCTAGTGGCTCTATGGAATTATTTCAGTATCTTCAACAGCACACGTTGATGATTTCTGGCGAGATAAGTTTCATAAATAAGGTGTATATTGCTAGGTCTTTTTTGTACTCTGATAGTGTACAATCTCCAAAATGGATGCTGTCATACCTTGGAGGTCCTGATTTTCAGGCAAAGATTGCACTGCATCGTGATGATAGCACCGTGGAAGATTTCTTTGTCGGTATTTGCGGAGAATATTCGCAAGATCAATTTAAAGATGACAGGGTGGACCTCATCAAGAAAATGATATCGGCCGGTGTGTCATTACATGTGTTAGACGAAGATTACGAAACGATGCTGCAAAAGGAATTTTGGAGTTTCCAGGGAAGACTTTATGTCCAAGAAAGAGAGATTTGGGGCCTCGAGATGTGGCTTGAATTTTTAGTCAAATTAAATGTCGATCTCAATACATACGGCGAAGTAGAGTCTTCAATTTATAAGAAGAAAAGAATGGCCCAAGATTTGGATGCCTCTGACAATTTCGTGGTGGAATGCGTCTTAGGATTCAAGTATGGGCCTCGTATTGAGGATTGGGATGTATGGTTCACTGAACGGACGGATAAATATGCCGGTGACTTTTGGAAACTTATTCAAAATCCACTTCAAGCTACTCTTGCAAATATATCTATACCCGGGGAATGGGTTGATTAAGCATGATACTTGATTCGGTCTTGATTTTGCAAATTTTGGAGGAGAAATCTCGTTCTGTCTCTTTGCATCTTGGTTCTATATGTTTGGAGGGAGGGATGGACGTTTGCTATTCTAGGCAGGAGTTCTCCTATGAAATTCATCTACGTTCAGCATACAATAATGAAATTCATTTGAGCTGCAGATGTCTCTATATCATATTATGTTTACAAATTCTGGAACATCAAGCTACTTCGATTCGAAGAGTTGCGGCGTCTTACTTAGAAAAACATTGTCAGCATTCGGCTGAATGGTTTCATGAACCACCACTGATGATGGACCGAACAAGTTCGAAAATGTTTGAGTCCCGGAGTCTAATAGGTACCTTTTCTACCGAGTCTTTGACTCTAAGATTTCGATCCTCCAGGATCAACATATGTGTGACATATTACTACTGCGAGGTCAACTCCGACTCGAATCATGAGATCCAACATTCTAGATCAATGGAAGTACCAAAATTGCACTGGATAGTAGAAATGTCTCATTTTGAAAATGGGATAGGTATGAAATTACCGCAGTCTTCCAATGGTGCTCCACGACAGCGTTTTCCTCATTCTCCTTGGGGATCTACAGGCAATGTTTTCGACTAAACTGTCCTCGACACTGGGGGATAATCTGAAGTCATCTCAACATGGAAATATGTGTCAAAGACTTATTAGAGGTTATAAGAACCTCAGAGGCTCAGCATAGAGTATTGTAGGTACAAGCTTCTTCTTTACCATACACAGGTATGACACAAGCGGCATTAGTCAAGATCTAATCAGAAACAACACAATAGTTAAGTTGCTTTTTGAATAAGTCTTATGAACTGTATGTAACCGAATACCAGTGATTCGCGCCCTGTTTCAAGCGACTGACTTTCCTCCCACTAATTCATATCCGCTTTCCATTCGCTTAATAATCATCGAGACCAAGGTTCAACCTTTTTCATCAACTTAACAAAAGTGTCATCCCCATATAAATTCATGAGCTTTTCCAATTTTTCCTCAGACGCCGCAGCAATCCACTTAACATTAGCAGCATCAAAGAAATCAACATATGTCGCTATCACTCATCATCAGCATTCCATTCTCTCACTCCAAAACCCAAAACTCAAACTAATAAATGAAAAACTCACGTTCACTCCCCACATCATCCCCCACCATCCTCTCCCTCAACCCCTCCCAACTCCTTTTTAAATCCTCCAACACAGCCGCTTCCCCATCCCCCCTCACCTCCGTTACATCCTTCAACTCACATCCCAGGAATTCCTCTCTCGTCCTCTTAAAATACTCCCGGGATCCATCATTCTTATCCAGCGCATTCTCATACACATCATTCATAATCCATCTTAAAATCGATCTCCCCAGAAACTGCGCGCTAGTTTCTTCATAATCATCTAACTGCTCCACGCCTTTCAAATGCCTATACCCATTTTCCTCCGTAAACCTCTCATTCAAGAGTTTAGCAATAGGCGTCGAATCATTCAGCGCGATATGGGGCGGTGCGAGAATCTCGATAATGGGAACGGTAGCGCTGAGATTCGTCATATCGGGGAAAAGTTTCTCGCAGAGCGGTTTGATGGCGGGGTAGGAGATTTTCTCGACGCTGTAGGGGATGTTTTTGTAGTTGAGGGCATAGCGGGTGAGCCAGCAGGCGGGGGACCAGGGTTGCGGACCGGAGAGGTCGTAGAAATGGACGAGGGGGGAGGGGCTGGACATGGTGCGGTTTTGGGGCACAGATTTTTAGGGGAGAGAAGACGAAGGGATTAGAGTGACAGAGAGAGAGTTTAAGGGTTCTATACGAAGTATATAGATATGTCCAGTGACCAATGACATATTCCTCGGCTCCGTCGCTCGGAAAGGCAGGTGGAGAAAAGGACGTGCGTTGTTCATGCAAGGTTCAGCGCAAACATCGATAAGAGCCAATATCCCATGCAACTTTGCAGCGGGGTAGGAAATAGCTCAGATAATGAAGATATGGACTAATACCACGCTGTCACGTCTCTCTTGCACTGGTTAAGGGTTATCACAACAGTCGAGAAAGTTACATCCGTAATCAAGATTTGATGATGATATGAAAGAATCATTGGAAGAAAATTGCTCGAGATGAAGAGCTGTATGAGGCTTTCGGACATTGTGACTAGTGCAGGCCTAATGTTTTGAATGCGGTTTGATAGATTGAGGACTCAATTTATTGTAACTTTTGAAAAGACATCGCCTTGTGGAGGTGGGGCTAGACCGAAATATAAATCAGTAAAGAAAGACGAGTTACAGGATAAGTTAGAGATGTTAGTTGTGCGTGACACGTCTCGCTGTTAGTTATATCATGTGTGTTATTTACTTTGAGAGTTTTGGTATATAATATGAATATATACAATCCTTCATTCACTTGACTTTTCTCTTTCCCACTTAACAAACATAATGTCCAACTCCCATATAGACATGTGGTGTTATACCCACTCAGATATATTTATATGGATTCATGATTCCGTTCTACGCAAAGTCAGTACATGTACACAAATCTGATTGTGTATCTCTAGTCATAAAACTTACAGGATCATAGAGGTTCTTAATCCCCTTCATCAACCCAATCATCGTCTCACTTCTACTATATCCAATGTAATTTTTCTTCGCCAAGCCTAGCCCATGCTCGGCACTGATACTTCCATTCCTCTTAGAAATCCATTCATACACAAATGGTTCTAATACTTTCTCAACTCTTTTATCATAGCTTCGAGTAGCTACATTGAGATGCAAATTCGAATCTCCCATGTGACCATAACCTACTACGCCTACGACTGGGTGATCTTCAGTATCGCCGATGAGACCAGCTTCAGTAATTTTTTCTCGTACATCTTCGACGAGTTGATAAAGTTCTTTCAAAGGGATGGAAAGATCGTATTTGTAGACACCACCCCAGTGGCCGAGACATTCGGGAATACCTTCTCTCCAGCTCCAGAGATCCTTAATTTGTGTTGCATTCTCGGCCAAAGTACCGTCCGAGACGATTTCTTTCTCCATGACATGTTCGAGGAAATTGTTCAATTTCTCTTGGTCATGTTCGGAATTGGAACCGCTGGTTTCGATGAGACAGTAGAAAGGATACTCACCCTCCAATGGTCTCTTATTTTTCGTTACTCTTTGAACTAAATCTTGGCTATGACTGTCCATAAGTTCGAAAGCAGAGAGGATTTCAGAAAGTTGACCTTTTGCCTCTTTAAAGGCTTCATGGACCTTTTCGAAAGATTCGAGGCCAAAGAATGCGACATTGATGGCGTTTGATCGCTGAGGACAAATGATTGAGATTCCAGTGATTATACCGATTGTACCTTCACCACCGATGAACAATTGTTTCAAGTCATAACCAGTATTGTTTTTTCGCAATTTGGAGAGATCATCGACAATTGTTCCATCTGGTAGAACTGCCTCGATTCCGAGAACATTTCCGTGTAAACTTCCATATCGCAACAGCCTCAAACCTCCAGCATTTGTTGCTACATTACCTCCAATATGACATGATCCCTTTGCGCCTAGATCTAATGGGAAGATGTGTTTGCGCTCTGCCAAATAATTGTCCGCAACTTCCAGAACAACACCGGCATCTACAACAAGGGTACCTGAAACCTCATCAAACGATCGAATTTGGTTCATTCGGCTCATGTTGATAACAATTTCATCGAATACAGGAACGGAACCACCGACAAGTCCAGTGTTTCCACCCTGTGGTACAACTGCTAACATATTATCATTGCAGTATTTCAAAATCTTGCTCACTTCTTCAGTGGATCCAGGCTTCAAAACTAAACTTGTATGTCCTCTATATTTGCGCATCCAATCTCCATTGAAAGGTTCAAGATCATCTGTTGCATCTTTTGTAACTCCATCAATAATCGCAGATTCCTTCCCCAGTAAATCCTTGAAAAACTTCACATTCTCCTCGGTGATTTGTGCAAACCTTGAGTCTCGCTTTATATCAGGGTATGTTTCGGATGTAAATTTTATGGTCTTCGATGTGCCAGTTGTTCCTTTGGCTATTCCTTCGGTATCCTCCGTACTAGCTGTACTTTGCCATCGAGTTTGAGTTAATAGTCGTAATGATCTTATCTTCGAGCATGAAGATGACGCCGGCGATACCCTAGCTCTGCGGACCGCGAGAGCAATACGTGATCGAACTGCCATATTTGTGATGTCCAAATTGAAGAAGGCTTGCCAAATTCTCGAGGGGAAGAAATTAAGAGTGGGGTCACAATGGCGAGCTTTACCCAGGCTTATTAGTCTATATCTTCCAAAAGTTTTGTTGCACGTCTGAGTGAACTTTCAACTTTAAGGCTTTCAAAAAAACTTATATTTTCTGACAAATTTAAAATCTTTAAAGTTTCAGGATGTTAGAAAAAATTGTCGTAGGAATTTTGGAAAGGGATTCGATTCGCAATGGCTCGGGGCGTTTTGGCCAAATTGCGAAAGGCTGTGATTTTGCCTTGCGCTGACATGGCTCGTGCGTTACCGTGGCGCACATCCCGCATATTTACAGCCTTGTCAAATTAATGCCTGAGGATTGTGGAGCCAGGCTCATGTCCGTTGGACCTTCCTGTCGCGTAGCTTCGTATGCTGAGCTGCCTGCAGTTCAAACATCAAGCTTCATCAATATTTCCCGCATTTCCCATTAAGCTTCGATCCTTTTCAAAATACCCAATAACTCCATTTAATTTCACTTTACGGTTCAGATCATCATAAATTATGGCTTCAGGATATGATAGAGCGTTGTCTGGTAAGCTATTTCCATTGGGTAAATAGATTAATAAAGGTAGCTAACATATAATAGTTTTCAGGTGAGTTTACGACTTGATTTGTACTTAAAATCAACCTAACAGCTATCATAGTCCGGATGGTCATGTCTTCCAAGTCGAATATGCTCTCGAAGCCGTCAAGAGAGGTACTTGAAATAGCTATAATCAATCAGTGGACAACAGCTTATACTTCAATCTAGGAACATGCGCCGTTGGAGTAAAGGGCAAGGATATTGTCGTTCTGGGATGTGAGAAGCGTTCCGCAATGAAGTTACAAGATACCCGCATTACGCCATCAAAAATTGGTCTCGTCGATACCCACGTTTGCCTAGCTTTTGCAGGTCTCAATGCCGATGCAAGAATCTTGGTCGACAAGGCAAGATTAGAAGCACAATCGCATCGTCTTACAGTGGAGGATCCAGTTACAATAGAGTACATCACGAAGTATGTGGCTGGTGTGCAACAAAGATATACACAAAGTGGAGGTGTTAGACCGTTTGGTATTAGTACTTTGATTGTTGGATTCGACCCCAATGATCAGACTCCAAGATTATACCAAACAGAGCCATCTGGAATCTACTCCGCATGGTATGTTGATTTTACTCTATGAATTTTACATATTCTAACAAGCTTCTAGGAAAGCCAATGCTATCGGTAGATCAAGCAAGACTGTACGAGAATTCCTAGAGAGAAACCACAAGGATGATATGGATAGAGAAGCTACCATCAAATTGACAATCAAGTCTTTACTGGAAGTTGTCCAAACTGGAGCAAAGAATATTGAGATTGCTATCATGGCACCAGGCAAACTCATTGAGATGTTGCCAGTGGAGGATATTGAGAAATATGTGAAGGATATCGAGCAGGAGAAATCCGAGGAAGCTGCTAAGAAGAAGGGTGGTCGTTCGGGAGGCACCACTTCAATCTTGGCGAGAGGACCTGATGATGCTGCTGCCCAATAAGTGGATTGATATTTATGACTTTCTGCACTTCATAGAGCCACTGTAATATAGCAATGAGCGACGAAATGACACAGCTTTGATGCTTCTGATGCATCTCAAGTTCACATTGAGTACCATGAGCCATAACAGTATCACTTCCGTCATACATGCGTATCAGCTTCTCATTAATCATTCGCTCTACGTCCCAAGTTCCCATGCCTATGCCGCTAAATTCAGACCCCTTTTTACTTTCCATATTCATGACGTGTCGTTTTATCCCAGCTTGTTTGGGGCCTCCTCCACGTCAAAGATCGTTCTCTGTTCCTTCCCTTGCAGTCGATCATCCTTAATCATTCTACTATCCTTCCTGACATCCTCGCCTTCGAATTTCAGTATTGGTTTTGGCTCGATCGCATCGATAACATAATGATTATCGCAGTGTGGGCAGTATTCGTCTCCGTCATCTGTTTCATCGGCAAAATCCTTCCTGAATGCCTTTTTGCATTTTTTGCATGCGAAAGTCTTCACACTGCAGTCAGTATGAGGGGTCGAGGAAAGCGGGGTGTATGAGCAAGTAATACCATTTCTGTGGTTTTCTTGAGAGGATGTGATTCAGTTTCCTGGTGACATTCGGCACAGTCAAACCATTTTCGACCTTTGGTTGAAGTTTAGTATGGGAAAACTATCTTAGAAGGTTGTTCCTACAGCATGGCGACCGAATAGAAACTTGCGCGTTGAGAATATGTTTACTGGAGTTTTGTTAGGTTGCTGAATGATGTTGCGAATAATCGTATCTTACCACATGGTATGAGTATGGTGATTTGGCTTATTTGAGTGTATTGTTTGGTCAACGATCTTCTTCTGGAGGACGTCGTTGAAATCTATAGGCCAGCTCCAATTACGGCTTCACATGCGATCCAGAAAAATGGTTCCAAAACAGTGAATCCTAGGCTGAACCAAATAATTTTAGCGTGCAAAGCTTATTAGTCAGCAACTCAGCCTTACGCCTCTTAGTTCTCCCACCGACATTAAAAGGGAAACCTAAATCATTGTTTCTCGAGGTCCTCCAAATAAATCAAACAACCTACCAGGTACAATTATTTGAAGGAACTTCGAGATGCCTCCAAAAAGGAAAGCCACATCAAGTATGAGGCTGGATACTTGCTTTAATATGAATCTGTAATGACTAACAACTCCCAGGTGTGAGAGGCTCTACCAAATCGAACAAAGACTCTGCTGTCTCTACACCAGGACCTGCAACCCCTCGTAGTAATATGAGCAGTGGTGATAGTGATGATGACTATCAAGATGGTACCGTAGACGAACTTGAACGTCAAGGTCTAGAAGCTACAGAGGAAGAGAAAGCCAGTATTGCAAAGACTATAAATAAATTCTCAGCAGAGAGTTACCGGCCAAGATCGGATTCCAAATTAATTAGGGACTCTGCTAGTCACCACTTTGGCAATAACGATTTTTCATACCTATCACTAAAGCCTGATCACGCAAATCGTCCTTTATGGATAGATCCTGAAAAGGCGCGCATTATCCTAGAAAGTTTCTCTCCACTAGCAGCGCATGCTCAAGATTTCCTGACTACAATAGCAGAGCCAAAGTCGAGACCCAGCTTTCTACACGAATATGCTTTAACACCTCATAGTTTATATGCCGCTGTATCAGTTGGCTTGGATCCAAAGGATATCGTTAATGTTCTTGACCGCCTTTCAAAGATACCTATACCTGAGAATGTTAAAAAGTTCATCATCAATTGTTCTCAGAGTTATGGCAAAGTCAAGCTGGTCCTTAAGAATACAAAACATTATGTCGAAACTTCAGATCCTGACTTGCTACAACGTCTTCTTTCGGATCCTATAATTGGTCCGCTCAGGGTTCAAGGGTCCACAACTACAACTATAGCACCTAGTATGGGTGCCTTGGTTATCCCAGGAACGAAGAATGCAGCTGGAGTTCAACAAACTGGAGATAGACGCCAGAGTGTAACAGATAGACAGCAAGCAGGACAAGAACCTACGCAGGATGATATTTATGCAAAGCTTAATGAAGAGGACGATGATGATGACGAAGAAGAGGCAGTTCATTCGTTTGAGATTGCTGATAACTGCGTAGAAGCGGTACAAAAACGATGCCTGGACCTCGCACTGCCTGTACTCGAAGAATACGATTTTCGCAATGATGAAGTCAATCCCAATCTCGAGATTGATTTGAGGCCTAGTGCCCAAATTCGACATTACCAGGAGAAAAGCTTGAGTAAAATGTTTGGTAACGGTCGGGCTAAGAGTGGTATTATTGTCTTGCCTTGTGGAGCTGGAAAAACCTTAGTTGGAATCACCGCGGCTTGCACGATCAAGAAGGGTGTCATTGTCCTCTGCACAAGTTCTATGTCAGTTGTTCAATGGCGACAGGAATTTTTGAAATGGTCCAACATCAATCCAGCTGATATTGCGGTATTTACTTCGGACCACAAAGAGAAATTCACAAGGAGTACCGGTATCATTGTCACAACTTATTCTATGGTCACGCAGACACGTGCGCGAGCTTTTGATGCCCAAAAGATGATGGATTTCTTGACGAGTAGAGAATGGGGACTGATGCTTCTAGATGAGGTCCACGTTGTCCCTGCTCAAATTTTCAGAAAAGTCACATCATCAATCAAAACTCATTCGAAATTAGGTTTGACGGCCACTTTACTTCGTGAGGATGATAAAATTGAAGACTTGAACTTCTTGATCGGTCCCAAATTGTATGAAGCCAACTGGATGGAACTCGCAGCTCAAGGTCACATTGCTAGAGTTCAATGTGCTGAAGTCTGGTGCCCAATGACTACTGAATTTCACTCGGAGTATTTGAAAGCACCTAGTCGCAAGCAGGGTTTGATATCTACAATGAATCCCCGGAAGTTCCAGGCGTGTCAGTTTTTGATAGACTATCATGAGAAGCGTGGCGATAAGATTATTGTGTTTTCTGACAACGTTTACGCCTTGCACGTCTACGCTCAAAAGTTAGGGAAAGTTTTCATTTATGGTGGTACGGTTCAGACCGAACGTCTTCGAATTCTGGAGAATTTCCAACACAATCCCAATATTAATACACTCTTTCTGTCGAAGATTGGTGACACTTCTCTCGATTTACCTGAAGCAACATGTCTCATCCAAATTTCGTCTCATTTTGGTTCCCGTCGACAGGAAGCACAAAGATTGGGCAGAATTCTGAGAGCAAAGCGCAGAAACGACGAAGGTTTCAATGCATTCTTCTATTCTTTAGTTTCGAAAGATACTAAAGAGATGTATTATTCTTCAAAACGACAAGCATTCCTTGTCGACCAAGGATATGCGTTCAAAGCCATTACTCATCTCCAGGGTATTGAAGATCTCCCTGGTCTCGCATTCAACACTCCTCAGGACCGAAGAGAGCTTTTACAAAACGTGATGCTTCACAACATGGACGAGGAGAAGTTCCAGGAGGATCTCAGAGATGATCTATTCCATCGAAACGACGGCAAACCTAGACCGAAGAAGAAGTCGAATGTTAGAAGAACTGCAGGCAAACTCGCAGATTTGGCTGGTGGGCAGGATATGGCATATGTTGAGCAAAATAGGAGCAGAAACAAGGATCTGAAGAAGAACAAAGGAGAGAGTTCTGCCTTCTTCAAGAAAATGGAGAGAGAGCGACAAAAGAGAAAACTTGCAGATTAGAGGTTTATTCCTTATGGGCGCAAAATGGTTGGTTAAATTGGCATGAGGATAAATGGTGATGGGGCGTTGGTCTGATGGGAAGGAACGTTTACGGGTCATTTCCATGTACAAAATAATCTTATACACAAACCAATAATGATATAACCTGAAACGTTTTTCTGGGCTTTTTACACTGATGTTCTTACAAATTTTGGACGCTATCCATGTAAATCGTGGTCCCGACTATGCTAGGTATTCACAATGTTTATATTCATACACAAAATCGCCGTTGAAATAATTTCAACGAGCAAGACACCAACACTAGTATTTGACTTTCAAACTCGCCAAAGTGAAGATGTGCACCAGCTCAACTCTTCACATAGTCTCCACATCTTCCTCCACCCACCCCAAATCCCCCTTCCCCTTAAAGGCCTCCAGAATATCCGCCTGCTCGTTCAACATATACCTATCCGTTGGTCCTCCAATCTTTCCCAACTTTCTCCACCGTTCGAAATCCTCCGAGTTCCGCTTATCTCCATGCGCTTCCTTTGCATTTTCCCAATGTCCTTGCGAAAATGCAAGTAAGGTACTGATTTTCTTATTCGGGATGTCGTAGACGAGAGAACAGATTGTTCCGGTTTCTTCTAGCCAGTTACATTGCCAGAGAGCACCGGGACGGATACACTGGAAAGAACATCGTTGGTAGTTGACACGCCCGGCCATGGGCCCCCCGTGGATGGCGTAGATTATTAGGGTCGGGTGGGCAAAGTACCTGGGAGTGTTAGTGGAGTTTTGTGACAGGATAGACAGGGATTACATTTCATATTTCCATTTTTCGGGATTTCCATTCGCGTCGTGAGCTGCGTAGTCGTAAATGAGATGCACATCTTTGATGTCTTTCTCGAATTGGGAGAGGATCGCTGGGTCGGTTTTAGCGTGGACGGTAGGCATTGTAGATAATTATATTATGAATAGTATGTAGAAGAGACGGGGACTGGAATTTTTGTATTTAGGAACACAAAATTAATATGTGAAAACGGAAACCGTTCTTGCAGAAATGAGGAATACAAAGTATATACTTGAGAGGATCGAACAGCCGCCATAGCACCATTCTAATCGTATAATCTCAAGACCATTTTCAGCCTAATCCAGATGCCGAGATCTTCCCACAGAACGGGAAGCTAGAATACATGTGGGGGTGGAGTCAGAATGATGCGGGCGAGGCGGGATGACGATCATAGAATCCGGGCCAGACCAATTTAGAATAGAGTTCTATCAAGAGCGACAAAGCATGATTTTTAGGATAGAGTCAAAAATACGAACTTCTATCTCGTACCACAAAAAGCCAGGAATCACATTGTAAAGGCAACTTCAACGCGAACTAAGACTTAGTGCCGCGCAACAAGTAAGCTTGTATTAGAATCAGGAGGTTTCTGCTTGAAGATTTTGGGGAAGTCCTGTTTCCTCGACGGGGCTAGAGGAAGATCTGCAATCCAGAAAAGTGGTAAAGAAAATCATAAAGTGTCATGTTGAGACTAAAGATTCTCGTCCGAACTTCTTACCACCCCTATGCGCGGCACTTGCGCGCGGTATCATGTACAATCTACAAAGTAGAGTTCCCTGGAGAAGAGGGTTCATTGTGTGAAATGAGCATGTCGGATGGAGGTCAGGGAGGCGGATGAGTAATCGTTAGATTTCGCACGTGACGGTACACAAACGGAAGTCGCGACCACTAGTGGGTGCATGGACTGACGGGACACTTCCCAATTTTCAATATTTTTCATAAATTCATTCTTGAATTGTTTGATATCAGAATTCGTGTTTTGATTGTTTCATCTCTATTCAAGAATTGTAACAATTCCTAAAATAAATGATTCAATATATCAAAAGATATTCACAAGTTTATTTTTGTACTGTCCCGTGAGTCTGTACACCCACTGGTGGACCAAAAGCTATGTCTCAAATTCATTTTCAATAGTCAAAATATCCAACTCGATCTATCATCCACTTGTCCCAACAAAAACCACAAGCACGGCTGCGTATGTTGCAGTTGCTGCGACGGTTTCCGTGTTATTTGCGCGGAGGACGAGACTTGTGATTCCAGCAAACAATACCGCAGCTATACTCGTCGTCACTAAACTCTTCGTCAAATTCTTCCCAATTTTTATAATGAGCATGGGAACTACAAGACTGATTCCACCAGTAAAGGCGACTATAAATCGTGCAAGTTTATCGACGAAGAGAGAAACTTGTTCTGGTGGCTCGCCTTTGAGATACTCGTCTGTGCGAAGGAGTAGCTCGCGCTTGGTATATGTCAGTTGAGATGGGAGATGCGCTTTGAGCCACTTCCTCAGAGGGTCGACTGGTATCAACGATTGATCTGGGAGACGACGATAAACTGAGTTGAAGGGATCCCCTGGTAAGGTGGCAATCTCGGGAAAGGCAAATGTGAGATCTTGACGCTTTTCATGTGCCTGAGATCCGGTAATATTTTGAAGGCTAGAGAAAAAGGCATAATCTCGAATTGCATCGGCTTTCAAAGAGGTGTGTTATTTATCTGGGGTTTCACGTTGCTTTGCGTATTTTGGGGCGGAACATACCATACTGGTGCAAAGTTGAACTGAGATCTCGAGTAACATCGTCAGACGCTGCCATGTTTGTCCACGTGTTACCCTTTTTCCTTGCCAATTCATTTTGGAGACGGACTATGTTGAGCTTTTGCAATCCACGGAATGCCAGGAAATGCGGTTCCTCTATCGTATAAGCATAATGAAATAGCCGCTCTTCATAAGTCATTTTCTCTGAGATGATCCCAGCTCCTGGCTTTCTCGGTCCACTCATAGCAAATGTCGACCTCTCTGGAAATTACTGCGGTATTGATCGAGGCAGCGAATTTTCACTTGATAAACGAGTTTCGGTGGATTTCTCGCCTTTGGTTCAATCCTTGCTTATGCAATAACGTGGTAATATGCAGGCGCTCATGTGACCATCTGCAGAGCAGCATTACTTGTTTTCAGCTCGTGAGTAAAATGCTCACCAAGTACGATTCGCTTGGATCGAATTCTTGGGTCATATAAATCCATCGTTTGCCTAATCTATTGAATTCCTGCTTTTCGATGGTGCAAAACCCTGGGGGCATCAAAGGCGATGCTGCCGATTATTACGATACTTCTTCTGCCGTCATCGCACAGAATGATTCAAGCAATCCTGATGGAATGGCGCAGTTTGTACTACCGTGTTATGGTGTCGAAAGTCGCAGTGGCAGAAATGGACTGACTACAGTTGGCGTTGCGGGGGAAATTTACACAAATTACCGGCGTGGTCGATTAATGCTTTTCGAAATTGCCCGAAGAAAACGGCCCTGGATCTCAGTTTTGCTCAAAAATAAAGATAGAGTAAAGCTTGATGAACCTGCATCGAAATTAGATCGTGCTATCTGGGATCTGCAACATGATGCGAGTTCGAGATGGCAAGTCAGTATTCCAATGGAAGGTTGGGATTTTCCTACCCAAGCATCATCAGAGTCTAACGAAGAATTGCTTGAGATGGGCCGGATGATGGGAGAACTTATGTTAAATGATTCGGAGATCAAAGCATTTCTAGGTAAGTTATTTGCAGCCCAAAGAATCTTGAGCGTCCAGTTCTAATACAGTCTTTTGACTGCAGATAGCGCGACTGCGACCCTCTTGGGACTAGACAAGCGGCTTCGTGACGAGTTCATACAACCTCTCAAGCAATGTATGGTGAACAGACAGGAAGTAAATTACCAATATCTCCTCGAAAAGGTTCGAGAAATTCACAAGGAAGTTGCAGGCTGCTACTTCCGTCTGGACGAACAGGTTTCTCGACGCCAGAAAGAGCTCACGGATATGGCAAAGATCGACTGACTGAGAGACGATTTGAGAACAGAATGATCCTGATGTTCAGTCAAATATACAGTGGGCTGAAGACATGATATACGAATCCGATTCCTATTTGTAAACAGCCCATCACCTGCTCTTGTTTATTTTTCTGGCTAACTACTGGATTGTGGTTCTTTAAATCGAGATCGCAACCTTGATGCAATTTTAGATATGATACAAGTTTCCAAAATGCCACCCTTTTTTTTTGACATGCTATTGTGCCCAGAATTAAATTGCAAATTCATCCCACCCCATCCCATGCACCCAAGATCCTTTTCTTTTTCCAATCTTCGTAAGAAATCGTCGTCTCATGTGTAGTGTACATAGTAACACAAGTATTCCACAGCCATCACGCCTCATCTCCTTTCGAGCTTCCAATTCCTACACAATTTCAGTTCTCACTACATCTCGACACTTTCTCCCCCGAACCAAAGACCTATTAAGCCACAACAACATTCGTCACGCCGTTCCCTTGAACAGCAGCTTCCTCCTCCACCATCTTTCCCTCTCCATCTCCGTACAAAAAGAATTGTACAAAAACACCCGCATCCAATAACAAGGTACCCGCGCTACCTGCCAACCAACTCGCGTTTACAGCAATATAGCGAAGATATTCGGATCGTGCTTCGCCGCTTTCGCACTTTGAGTGTCCGTGTCTCGAGGCTGTGAGACAGGGGGCTTCGTAAGCGAAGATGGAAAGGACGTATGTGAGATTTCCAATACAAGCGAATAAGAAGAAAAGCATTGAGATTCCCTGAGTAGATTTACGACGATGGTTGAGAAGAAGTTGGGGGACACGGGAACTTAGGTAGAGGATGGCGCAGAGGTAGCCGAAAGTTTGTCCCAAGGGGGAAAAGGCTGGGCTGGTGTGAGTAGGTGAGTGTTTGTCGTGTGTTTTGTGGGATTGGGCGGAAGAGGAGTTGGATATCCACCAGCCAAGAACACCGGCAATGCAGACGAGAATGATGCTAAAGAAATTGAAGAGGAAGGTTTGCATTGGAGAAGTTTTGGCTTTCTTGGTGGTGGGTGTATCGTTAGAAGAAGGGTCAAGAAGCGGAACAACGGGAGAGAGATGTTGAGCTGAGACAGAAGTGCCGCTATGTCTTCTCTCTAGGCCATTGAGGAGCGCTGTAGTTTCGCTGGGCGTACTAGCTGCTATTGCTGCGTAGGTGGGCTTAGGTGGGGATGGTGGCGGCTTAACTTCGTCGCGCCAGGTGAAGCCCTTGTAGTAGAAGCATTGACCTAAAAGCACTATATCTGCTATGGTGTAGTAGACGGCGAGGATAATCTAATGATGTTAACATCGATATCACGTGAAACTAATTGGACAATATTTACCATTGTAGGGAGAACACCTTGGAGCACAGCACCCCAGATATTAAAAACATCACCGGCAAGCCATATAATAATGAATTGTAGAGACAATCCATCAGCCTATTGATATTAGCACATTGCACTCATTCAATTGCTTCCAATAACCCAATTGGCTTGCAAACAGAATCTCAATGAAAGTACTCACCGAGCCTCGTCTCCAATTCTCAATAATCTGAGGACTAAATACCACTATCCAACAAGCAATCGATATCGAACTAATTCCCATCAGCATCTCCTTCATCTAAAGTTTCTAAGCTAAAGCTCGATTGACACATACCCACATATCCCCGATATAGCAGTAATATCCAAATTCAAATTCTGAGTCGGAGGAATCATCTTGAATCTTCGTATAGACCCAATCTCAAAAGAATTGTAAATATATCAAATATGACAACCCAAAAATGAAAGTCTTTTGAAAAAGAATCTCTCCCTCTCCAAATTTTGCTATCGAAAAAAAGCAAAGAAAAAATTATGACTCGATATCTTAACCCAACTCTAGTATGATCTGATGTAAATGTGGCGGTCTACCAAACCTCTCTAGTAATGGTAAGACACGAAAAAGTAACGCAATGCCGTCAAGTCGAGCCAACTTCTCGAATGATGGATATTCTGATATCCGAATCGCAGCAAAGGAGCGAGATATGAAGTGAAAAGTCTGGGTAGCGTTTTGAAGATTCTGCTGAAGGAGACAATTCATTACGGTGAAAGATACTTTGTTCAAAGCAAGGTTTGTAGGTCGTTTGTAACTCACATGACTAATGGTCATCACATGATGCGGACGCTTGTCCGATTAGAGGTGGATGGGACTGGGGTAGCTGTCAATTGGATACCGGTCGGAGCTCGACGGGGGAAGGAAGGAAAGACGTCATTATTTATTTTATTTACTCGAGTACGAGTACATGCATTTTGAATAAGTCATTTTGAATAACTAAGTCAGTTACTATTCTCGAATTTGAAGACTTTGGAGGTCGCATGTGAGTGATGTGAATCGGAGAATTTAAGAAACAGAGGGGTTTCCGATAGTAAGACAAAGTCTCACGGCTATTTATCTAGATTACTACCCCTCGGCTTGTAATACTAATCCCATCTTCTCGAGATGACTCTGGTAATGGTAACATAACAAACAAATTGAATGAACAATTTCATATTAATAAGTGGCTGACGATCAAATCGAAATGTGTTGGCTTAGCAATCCCGAGGGTCGGAATTTAGATAAAAGATAGAGTAGTCACCCCACTATTTCCTTTGCTATAGATTTGGTCCGTCTCTCTCTCTCTCTCTCTTCGGGTACTCTTAGACATTATAATATATAAACCCTCTCCCTTCAGAACACTCTGCTCCTCGCCACCATCTAAACCACAATATCCAAACCATGCCCGAACCTTCTCTCCCATCCCCTGCTCACCCCGACGTCGATTCCATGCTATCCCGCAAATTCGGCCGCGAAGTAGCCAACTACTTTTCCGGCTCGCCTCTCAACCGTGTTTCCTTCCTCCGCGCCAACCATGATTTCATCTCCAGCGCATTCACGCATCCCGCTACCAACTTCCTCCTTCTCAACAATCTCGCTCCGCTGACGAAAGATCCCAGTCACCTGGCCTATTCCTCTCACTCCGACATCACGGGATTGACGGGACAAAACCCGTTTGAGAAAGATGAGGAGACGATGATCAAAGAGTTTAATTCTTCCAAGACCTTACCCTTAGTTTTATTCCTGGGCTTGGACGAGCGGAGTAAAGATAAAGATGGATTCAAGCATGGGATTTACAGCGGAATTCCTTATTTTGCAATCGATGTGACCCCAAAAGGAACATACGAAAACGAAGCAAACAGCGTGGTGAAAGCCATGCAGGAAAAAGGATTGGTATTTCAAGAGGGCAGAATCCTCATGAGTCTCGACGCACAAGAAGCTGCGATTTTCGCCCAGGCACGAGCGCTTCTGGACTGGAATGCTAGGAATCCTTTCTGTGGCGGATGCGGACAACCTACGCTTTCTGTGAGTGTGCTCTATTCTCCTTGGAGACGAAAACAAAAGCATAATCTCCACTTCAAAATATCACCAAAAACTAATAAAATCCCAGATCAACGCAGGCACCAAACGCGTGTGTCCCCCCACCGATTTCGCCTCTCTCCCCACCGCCCAAGCAGGAACCACCCCCGCAACCCCCACCCAAAGAGCCTCCTGCGCAACCCGCAAGGGAGTATCCAATCTCTGCTTCCCCCGCACAGACCCCACCGTCATCATGGCCGTCGTCAGCCACGACGGCAAACGCATTCTGCTCGGCCGTCAAAAGCGCTGGCCGCAATACTGGTACAGCGCGCTGGCCGGGTTCTGCGAGCCCGCCGAATCCGTCGAGGAAGCCGTGCGTCGCGAGGTCTGGGAGGAATCCGGAGTGAAGCTCGGTCGTGTGGTCATTCATAGTACCCAACCCTGGCCCTATCCTGCAAACTTGATGATTGGTGCTATTGCCCAAGCGTTGCCGGATGGTGAGAAGATTCATCTGGAGCATGACCCTGAATTGGAAGATGCGAAGTGGTTTGAGATGGAAGAGATTAGGGAGGCGTTGTTGAACGGAACGAGTCCGTTGGGAGAACCAGCTAGCGAGGGGTATAAGGAGGGAAATTTAAGGTTACCGTCCGTCACGGCCATTGCGACGCAGTTAATTAAGGCGGTTGCAGAGGGTTTTTTGGGTGAGAGTCCTAAGATTTAAGGGGAGGTGAGATATTGTTGGTTGGTTACATAGAAGTCATGTGAGCTAGATTCTGAGGATATAGAAATTAGAAGATTTCCGCAGTGATAGGGATTGTAAGTAGTCTATGCTAGGTATCTAGATGGTGAGATTACAATTTGATGATCGATAGATATCGCGACACTTGAATGTCAAAACGAAATTGAATATCCAAATACACAATCTCTTCTTTGGAAGTGGGTGATATCTAATGTAATTGACGATTAAAAACCCATACGCTCGCTACCTGAACACCATACTGCAACAACAAACTGCAACAACAAACTGCAACAACAAACTGCAACAACAAGTAGGCAATAAAATCATTTCATTCCTTCATCAAAATCATCTATCATCAATCAGAGCACAGACATCTGGTCTAGTCTTGTCTGATCTACCTAGAAACTAAGGATAGAAAGTAACAATCTATCTCAGATCTCCTACCAATCCCATCTCGTGCTATCCAGCCTTTTCATCCCATTCCATACATTATACGCAGAAAGCATCATCATAAGATACCAGCCAATCACTCTACACATTAAGAATTTGTCTCGGCAAAATTGGATCCATTTCGTTCTCGTCCCACTTGAACACGAGGAGAACCGGTAAGAAAATCTTCAGACGTTGCTTCTTCAGGAGGTGGAGTAAGACTTTTCTCCCATTGATTCATCATTGTGGATACAGTTTTCTTAAGATTGCCCGGTTTCAATTGATCGAGAGCAGGCCATGGAATTTCATCCCTTCTTGAGGGCGAGTCTGGCGGGTTGTTCGAGTCCATAATGCTATGATTGGTTAGCGAAAATATTCTTATGCCAGGAACAGAATGAAATTCTCACTTTACTTCATCTTCGCCGCTTGCATTTCCGGGAGTCACTGGACCGGATAATGTAGAACTACCGCTCCATCTCATGGGCGATTTAGGAGCTGGAGAATCCCAATTTGACCAATCATCATCGTCGATAGTAGCAGTAGGAAATGAAATCGGTCTTGCGCGTTTCTTTTGAACGTTTGTGGGTTTCATGGGTGCCGCAAGAGTATCGGGATCTTGCCATAATGCGCCTCCCAAATCTAGCAGAGCGGGATTATCACCGGTTAAGGAATCCCATGTTCTTTGTGATGATGGATCTGGTCTTGGTGATTTTCCTCGTCGTCCTCGTAAACTACCCTTACTAATTCGCTTATTTAGCCCGCGTTGTGTTGCATCCAAGCTTGATCGTTTGTTCGCTGTGCCATTTACCGCTTCGTCTCCTACTGTAGCTTGTCGAAGGTCCTCAAGGAAAGTCCATAGTCCGGCTTTAACATCTTCTGTAATCTGTTTCACTCCATGTGTCACTCCTAGTCCTCCTTGGTATGAATGTCTATTTGCTCGATTTGTGTTGACCCTGGAGATACCAATACTTGTATCCGGCATAGTTGTGCTTCTTGGAAGGTCGACTGAGGTTGTTCCGGTCGATTCGGGAAGTGTAGAATTGTGCGTCATTCTTTCTGGGGAAAGGAGCGAAAGGGTACGAGTATGACCACCAGTAATGATTTTCCTTCGTGGATTCTTCTGATCTTTCGGTAAGTGAGGAAGATTGGCAAGAAAAGCTTTCTTTCGATCCATATCGATGCTTTGTCTTGGAGTCGTAAGTGCATTCTCGTCAGCAGACCCGCGCTCAGTTTGCACAGGTTGAAGCTTCTCGACATGGCGAATTTCTGCTCTCTTCTTTGTTGCTTCATGATTCGCCCATTGTTTTTTCAACTGCTTGAGCTCATTTTCAGCTTTGTCCAGCTCCTCCTTAAGTTCGAGGACCCTCCTTTCCTGACTAGCTAGGGCGACTAGAAAACCATTTGAATCATTTGGCGACAGGATAACGTTGGGATCTGCAGGTGTGCCGGGAACTGATGGAGCATTTGATGAAGTTGGAGTAGCTCTGACTGATTCGAGGCCATTGCTTGGAGCAACGGGGAAAGTTAGCGAAAGACGATTCGGCCTTCTTGAAGTATAGGATAGTGCACGATCTGGTCGTACAATGGGTCGAGGTGGATGGTTTGTAGAGAAGTTTACTCTATTGGGTGAAGTACCAATATGGGGACTTGGTACATCAGTAGGTTGATCGGCCCCTGTTAGAATTGATTCAACAGAAGCACGATCAATTGAGGTTGTTCGATCGTGGAATGAATCCATTGTGCATATTGGAGAGGATAAGTATATATAATGATCACAGAATAGTGGAATGAAAGTAATTTTGAATATAAGCATTCAATGTTGAAGAAATTCTTGTGTTTATGTTTGTGTTAACTATCGTAATCGAATAATCGTATAGTTAATCGTTATGCATTTGGCCAGTAGGGGAGCCGATATGTCAACAAATAACCAAAAAGGAGTATGAAAGCGAACAAGTGAAGGTAGAGAGAGATGAGATGAATAAAGGAATAGAAAATTGGGTGGTGGATATTTTTCGATTTTTGATTTTTGATCACATAGAAATGAATGCGATGATCATAAACATCGTACAAGAGAAATGGAAGTAGACGCAATCATTCCCAGAAGGAAACTTGTTTTTTTGAAGATAGAAAGATGAGTTGTGTTGTGAGTGAAGTCAAGCCAGAAAAGACTTCAACGGTTCTGTCTTGCTCCAGTCTTTGAGTCCCTAGTAGGTACCTAGGTATTTTGTTGAAATTGTTCTAGGTTTGTCTATTTGAATTGAAATTGTTATTGTTATTGTTATTGTGATTTATGATTTATGATTTATGATTTATCATTACAGTAATATGTTAGCTGATCCTTGGGTTGCCTAGGTACCAGTAGATACTTATTAGTTGTCAAGACTCAAGGTACCGGTACTCAGTTCAGTATCATTCTGGGTTCACGTGACGAATATCCCCGTCCCGTAAATTCTGGGGATGGATGGGTTTGGAATAACCCTGAAGTTTGGTGTAGATGGCATTGAAATTTGATAGAGTGGATGAGGAATGAAAAAACAAACAAATGGGATGAACTCTCCATTGAATTTAGACAAATTAATAACCTTAAGACAGTCTAGCCCTTTTCAACGAGAAAGGGGAAATTCAAGATCAAAGCAGCAAGCAAGTAAAGTTCAAATCATCCAGTCATCAAAAGTCGGATGTTATAAACTCCGACTGAAAGCATCAAAAGGTCACGAGACTTCGAGCTATTTTCGTGTCTCCTAGTCTATCTAGGTAGTATCTAGTGTCCTTTCTACTACAGCAAACTTTCGACGCGACTTGGACTACCTAGTGTTATAACAAAGAGATATCCCTACACATTCATTTTTCCATAACTACAACCATACTCCCTTACAAAATATGAACACTTTCACATATTCATATTGCTGTTCATCTTTTTCATCTCCTTACTCATCAGCACAGCACATCTTATCCCACCTGCTTATGTTTAACACCCTTTCTTACAATGAAAAGTCTGCCATTTTACAAAGTATGTAAACTCCTAGATGAACTCGAGGGTTTGATCTGCAGATTTCCACCATTGCTTCCAAAACTCTTGAAGGAGAAGGTGAGTGATGCTTGGATTCGTTGGTTCAAACTCCATCGCGATACCTTGGATGCTATGTATAAAGACGATCCTTCGGTTTTATTTACCCTCAAACCAGAGGTCCTGGATGATCGAGACTACAATGTGGACAAAGTAGCCTTCGAACGCTTTCTTGCTAGGTATTTTTATATGACTGTCGAACAACGTGCCACATTCAAAAAGCTCGAAGAGGGAGACGGGACGTTGGTACCTGTGTGGAATCACAAGGCTGGTCGCGATGATTTAGTTAGGAATGATATAGGCTATCGTGTACAATGTATCATGAAGTATATAGGTCGAGATACGAATCAGGTCAGTATATTAGTTCTGAAGGGAAACTGTTCTCTTAAAATTACCCATGAATGAGCGCGCGTTTCGCTTGAGTGGGATATAACCAGGGGCTTCTTCATGTGATATAAACCCTCACATGGCAACTTTACTAAAACGCTTTCATAGGAGACAGTGTTTGCGCACATGAAAGTCACTGTGCAAGAAATCGAGGATACCCTAATCACCATTGCTGCTCAGAACGAAGGGTCCTCAGCCACTATAAAGTCTCTTGCAGATCCCAATGACAGAGACACCTGGGACCGCCTTGGACAGATATACTCGAGACTTCAAAGCTCTCAAGGAAAATGGCTCACTCGTATCATTCATAAGGACTTCGGGTTCCAGGTTCCAGTCGATATCTTAGTTACAGCAGTTCACACGAGTTTTCCTCGGGATCTGGAGGTAAAGGCTAAGTTTGATGTCAAGAACTTGATACCTATTCGAAGACGGGGTGAGACAGGAATCATTATGCCTAGTGTTATTCAACCAAGACGGTCCTTTACCAAAGATCAAGGCACCCAAACTGTGGCACTTCCATCGGTCGCGCGACCAGCCAAGTCCCCACAACTGATCTCGCCTCCACCAAGAAGACAAACAAGATCTCTCGTTTTGTCTGATTCTACCATATCTTCCCTAAATGTTATGCAGACACTACCACAAAAAATCCCGTCAATAGGCTCGGAAAATATCGAGGTTCCTCAAAAGACACCGACTAGGCTTACCCATAGATCTCGTCGGATGTCCCTAGAACAATTAAGGTCTCTACAAAAATCAAAATCTCCTGATCCTCTTACCAAAACTATCTTTACCGGCACTGGCCAATGTAAGCAAACAACAAACTGTGCTTTCCACAACGCAATATTCATACTGTCTCCCTGCATCTCCTCCCACCTCTGGCTAATCGACCTCCTCCAGTCCCACGGCGCAACCTACATCACCTCTTTAGTTCCTCTGACCCGCAAAGTCCTCCCAAAACGCTGTCCCAAAACCGGAAAAAGAGTCCGCAAGATCGCCCTCGTCGAACACGGCAGAACACATCAAACAATCGCGTTCATGAAGCAAATCGGCGCCCTTCGGCTCACGAGATCAAATGGTAAACGTGATTGGATAGAGACATGTGATTGGCGTTTACTAGAGAAAATCGCTGGGTTAGAGAAAGGTAACGAGAGTGTCGAGGTTGATATTTGGGAGCGTCATCGCTTGGGTACAGTCTAGTGTGTCGCTTTGTATGCGGATATTTGCCGACCAAGCGAATATCTACACATCTCTCCTTGTTATGAAGCTACGGTCGGCCCCTCTCTGCAATAAATTAGTTGTAATGAGTACCTATGGAGTACCCTTTGCCTAGAAGTCATTTTCATTTTTGATACGGGCAGGTAGGCATTTTGTTTATAGCATAGCGGATGCATTGGATACCTACATGCAGCACCCTGCATATTGGATACCCCTATCTGCTTCGCAGATCATTTCTGGTATACGCGGTGGATAATACCGGTACCTACTCGCGCTTTATGATAGATATACATATACATATACTCATACGTAGTTATCCTTACGGAATATCAAATACAATGAATCATACGTTTACATGATGTGAAAGTTCCCGTGCAACTAGACCGTGAGTGAAGAGAAAGAGCGGTTGGTGATTTCTTGATCATGTTTTTTTGTTTTGAGGGGGAAGGATCTGTATTGAATGAATAGAGATTTTACGGGGGTGGAAATCTATATGTATGTAGCATAGAATTTGATGAGATTGTGATATCAAAGCGCAGAGTGTACATCTTGATAACTGATTAACGGATACACAGCGATATCCAAAACCAGGGGTTGACAAAAACAACGACCATGATAATACACACAACAAATTTTTATAAATGAGAATGGGTACAAAAACCAGCATAATTTTTTTTTCCTTCCATATAATATGATACAACCTAATCTAGACCAATCCATTCCGCCTCATCATCATCATCATTAATATCCACATCTTTTACCACTACATCCTTCTCTCCAGCATCTGCACTCTCGATTCCCTTTTCGATCGGTTGATTAAGTAGATAATCAATCATGTAGACATTTTCATCCGCCAACCTCCTCAAATCGTCTCTAATCCTGCCCACTGCTCTCCCCACAATCCTCAGCTCTGAATCTACTAGAATTCTATTATCGCCCACCCATTGACCATGGGAAACGAGTATTGATTGGACCCAGAGAAGACAAAATTCCAGATGGGGGGATTCCTCTGTTTGCATAGCTACAAAACGTAATAGACGGGGAATGTAAACGACTGGCAATTCAGCGACTACGAGGGCGATATTGGGGTGTGGGATGCCTTCGAAGACTTGGCGGAGGAGCGGAGCTTCGTTGAGACGGAATGCCATGACGAGGGCTTTAAGGTAATCTTTCTCGATGTTGAGGACGTGGAGGGTGGAGGAGGGGGTGACGGCGAGATCGAGATCGATAGGGTCGAAGAGGGGCATGGTGTCGAGACTGTAGATGAGGAGACCTTCTGTTGAGGCTGCGCAGAAAGATCGCCCTGTTGGAGAGAAAGCCACGCCAGCAACGCGGACTTCGGGGAGTCTTTTGCGGGCGGAAGGATCTCCACCGCGGGTTGATCCGGGTAGAGTTCGATCGATGCGGTCTTCGAGATCGGAGGCTTCGCCTTGTTCATCGATAAGACCGGCTGGTCCAGCTTCGGTCAAAAGTTTGCTGTTGAGAAATTCTTGCGTTCCGGATAGGGATAGGTTGACGCTGACGGTGAATCGCTTCAATAAGACAAGGGAGTCTACCGAATACAAACAGATGTACTTGCTGTTACCTCCTGCGAGAACACAAGATCCATCTGCGCTATATCTAAGGGAGCCGAAACTTTTGTTGCCCGCGGCATTAGCGGCGGTTCTTCGATCGGTTATTTTTCGACCACCTGAAACGTCCCTTCGGCCATCAACACCTGATTGCTGTTCAGCCTCTGAAACAGACCAGAATGTCAACTGTCCATCCAGGGTTGAGACAGCAAGCTGTAGCGAATCGGGACGAAATGCAACGTCTAATACATCCGCTTGAAGTTGAAGCGGTTCGCTCGTTTGTGTCCGGTCAAAAATGGACCAAATTCTGACTGTGTGATCCCAGCTTCCACTTACTACTACACCTCCATTTGGCGCAAAAGCCAGTGATGACACAGGTCCTTCGTGACCTGATAATCTGTCTAGTAATTGGCCAGTCTGTACAGACCAAATATGGATATCAAAAGAATCTAAAGATCCCGCGCAAACGACTTCGCCACTGGGATCGACTGCTAAGGATGAGAATGAAAGTCTAGTGGGCGCTGTAAAAGTACGGAAATTTCGATATCTTATCAAATCCCATGCTCTTATCGAACCGTCAAGACTTGATGTGAAAAGAACATTTCCTCTCTTCGCAAATTCGCAAGCCGTGACTCCACTGGTATGTTCTGTAAAAGTGACTATACAGAAACCAGTATTCACATCCCAGACTTTTATCTTTCCGTCGTCTGCAGTGGTGATAATCTTTTGTCCATCTGGAGAGTAAACTAAAGAATTCATTGAATCGAAATGGCCTTGTTGCTTCAGGATATATGATTCTGATTGCCATTCCCAAACTAAAAGTTGCCCCAGCTTTGAGGCTCCAAATGCCAGCCATTCTCCAGACTTGTTGATTGTGACGAAGTCAATATCGTTTTGTGAGATACTTAAGGTGTGGATCATATTGAATTCTGGCATTTCGTAGAGTCCAAATACACCATTCGAGAATCCGGCAACCAAAAGATTCGTTTCGGCGTGGTATGCAACACAATTGACCTTAGCGTTGTTCTGTAGGAAGTAATGTCGCTCCGTAATTCTCCATTGCATGTGAGAGTCGTCATCCGGATTTTCCATCTCCTCATCCTCGTCCTCTGGCTCGGGGGCATTGGGGTTCCGTATATACGACCATTGGAATACTGCTCCATCCTTACTACATGTGTAAATAGTCTCCTGATCTTTCGAAAACCATGCACCCATAACACCTTCCCTGTGGCCCGCCAATGTAGTAGGTATGAAAGTTTCTTCTGGATCCAAGCTCCATATCCGGGCTGTCAAATCTTTTGCTGCGCTAAGGAAAAAACGAGAATCACTCGACCATTCGATGCTTTGAACAGTATCATAGTGACCGGTATATACTCTGTGTCTCACAAATGGCGCAAACTCTAACTCCCCCTCCGAATTTGTATCTGGTGTTGAGGGTGTGTGCCATACTTCGATCATTCGACCAACTCCCACAGCAAAATGGCGTCCAGATGGCGAAAAGGATATGACGGATACAGCTGACTTGAAAGAAAAGTGGTGCAGGACAATCCGTCTCGGTACATTGGTCAATATCGCGCGGCCATCTTCATCGACTGAAAGTAATAAGTTTCCTCGCGGCGCAAGTCCCAATCTTGCTATATTCTTTCGATGTGCGAATGGAAGTGTATGCGACTTATTACTGAAAACCTATTAGTATATCAATTTTCACTTAAGAGATCATAACTTACTTTACTAAATCAAAAACTGTGACTCTATTTCCTACTGGAGAAAATAGACATGATCCATCTGGACTGAAGAGAAGGTTGCCTTGGCTGTAAACAGTCCCTAAGAGATTGGAGAACTAATTGAGCATTTAGTAAGTAACAATTCTATCTAGATATATCAGAAAGTTATGAAATCAAACTTACCTTAAACTCCGTCTTCATTGTTACCGGTTTAATTGCATATTAATATTTTGAGATGAATTTCTGAGCTTCAAAATCTTATCGCATTGCATGGATTTGGATTTTTTTCAATTAATTAATCCGAAAAGATAATCCGATCTGCAGTTCCAAGCAAGCTAACCAAAAATCGTTAGCGCTTGTTGGCATCTCTAGTGGCTTTTGGCCTTTGGGGGTTCTCTAGCCGAAATAAGGAATCAGTCAATTCCCAGGGGCAGCTTGTACTTCGAATTTCAACCCAGCGATACGATTATTATTCTCCTGAGTACGTACCAGACCGTTCGTTCAACCACAAACCCACCGACAGCAATATCGGACAACAATTAATTTTCAAAGGCATCACAACACATTTTCCATCTATTTTCTCTTCTTCAAGAACCTTTACAATCTTCGAATTCAGTAAATAAATAATCACTATGGCACCACCCACCGCCGAAAGCGCTTCCCCCATCGGAATTGCGAATTTACCAAATCAAAGACACAAGATTGTCGCAAAGAGAGGTGCTGCCTTCACTATTATGGTATGTGACTCTCTGTTCTGTTTTCAGAGCTTTCAGCAACTTCAGACTAATGTTCTCTTGTAGGTTGCTGGCGAATCTGGACTTGGAAAAACAACCTTCATTAATACCCTTTTCTCTACCACAATCAAAAACTATGCCGATCACAAACGCAGACACGCAAAGCAAGTTGATAAAACCGTTGAGATTGAAATCACAAAGGCTGAATTAGAAGAGAAATTCTTCAAGGGTATGGAATTTTATACATCCAGCTTACTTGAGATAATTAATTGGCCATTGTTGACATTATCTTAGTTCGTTTGACCGTTATTGATACACCTGGTTTTGGAGATTATGTCAACAATCGCGACTCCTGGATGCCAATTATTGAGTTTTTGGACGATCAACATGAATCCTATATGTTGCAAGAGCAACAGCCTCGCCGTGTTGATAAGATCGATTTACGTGTACACGCTTGTTTGTACTTCATCCGACCTACTGGCCACACTCTGAAGCCCCTCGACATTGAGGTTATGAAGAGACTCAGTTCAAGAGTAAACTTGATTCCAGTAGTTGCTAAGGCTGATACCTTAAGCCCGGCTGATTTGGCCCGTTATAAGCAAAAGGTATAGTATATCTTAGTACATTAATATCATTGTCAAAGCTAACGTTATCTCTGTAGATCCAAGCTGTCATTGAAGCACAAGGTATCAAGATCTACACACCACCTATCGAGGAAGATGATGAGGCTGCTGCTCAACATGCACGAAGTTTGATGGCTGCCATGCCATTTGCAGTCATTGGCTCAGAGAAGGATGTCAAGACTAGTGATGGACGTATCGTTAAGGGTCGTCAATACGCATGGGGTGTTGCTGAAGTTGAGAACGAAGACCACTGCGATTTCAAGAAGTTGAGATCCATTCTCATCCGAACACACATGCTTGATCTCATCCACACTACCGAAGAAGCACACTACGAGGCTTACCGCGCCCAACAAATGGAGACTCGCAAATTCGGCGAAGCTAGACCTAGGAAGCTTGATAACCCCAAATTCAAGGAAGAGGAAGAGAGCTTAAGAAAGCGTTTCACCGAGCAGGTTAAGATTGAGGAGCACCGTTTCAGACAGTGGGAGCAGAAGCTCATCAGCGAGCGTGATCGTTTGAACAAGGATTTGGAGAGTACACATGCTGCCATCAAATCCCTAGAACAAGAACTTGAACAAATGCAAGGCAGTGCCGCAACTCGCAGTCACGGACGTCGTTAAGTAAGGCTTGCATGGGGGAGGATGTTCTAATCTAAAATTGGATTATGAGGATGTATCGGGGGCACCCGAGTATGGATGATATGATGGCAGGTGATGCTGAGAGAGTTGCAAAACGGGTCGTTTTGCAACGTGGTTTTTCTTTTTTCTTCGACAGTTAACGTTCAGAAGGCTTCTTAATTTTAAATAGCTTCTTATGAGAGGCTTCTATTTCCACTAGTTTTAGCCACGATGTAATTCATGCTTCTTCATGATAATTTGTTCACTATACTCTCTACTACTTTTCATGATTCGTCTCTTGTGTTGTGTACCACCCTCTGACCTAAACCGTCTGATCGCCTGTACATTGCGTCCGTCACAAACCCATGAATTTTAACGCCTAGATGAAGCTGAGAAAATAGTGTAAGTCTGATTTGGTGCTATTCATCATCGCATACAAAGAAAACCGTTCCGGGTATATTCAAAACGTCATTTCTTACTATATAGCATCCATACTAGCCCTCATTGTTAACTGTTCATTCTTGTTCCCCAGTTTCGAAATCTGTAGAAATGCATCACAGCCGTATCCCTCTAAACTATGTAGCTCTAAGCTCCCAGCCCAGTATTCGGCGTAGACTCGACTTAATGGTAAACCCATGCCCAGACGGAGGTTGGGAGGCCGGCTGGTGAGCGAAGAAAGGGATGTTTCGTGTGCTGTGGAGCTGGGGCCGACATTTCCTACGGTCGCTGCCACCGCTGGTGCTCCATCGTTCCTTTGCGACCCGGGTGCTTTGTCTGTTACGCGCAGTTCTTGCATCGTAGCCGCCATTTTTGGTACTCGGGTGAGGTTTTCGAGACGTTGGTTGCTACGAGGTCCTTTACTAAATGCCCAGAGATACGGAAGAATATCTCGAGGTATACCGCCTCCTTGATCTGATACTCGGATTATCACATGCTGAGGCGCTTCGCAGACTGTTATGTCGATAGGAGGAGGAGGTTGGTTATTGCTTCGGCCGTTTCTCCGTTTTTCGACGACTGCTTGAACGGAATTTCGTAGTAGTTCACCGATAATGTATTCTAGGTGGCTTAGAATATATGGAAATGTGGCTTCGACATGACCAGCAAGCCGTATTTCAGGCATTATGGTGGAGGGGCCGTAAGTAGCTGACATCAAAGCTTGAACTTCGCTGCCCACTCGTTCAACTACCTCCTTTGCATTGCACCTTAAGAAGACTTCGCCCACAAACTCCGACTCCGCTGGTTTCCCATCAGGAAAATGCCAATGTGAATGGAAGGTCTCTGTTAAAGCTAGGTGTTGCTCTGCGATAACTCGTCGCGATATTCTCGATCGCAAAATTGTGTTCATAAATTTGTCCATATCCGAAGGATTCATTAAATCTCGGCATTCCAACACGCCCATTGCTAGCTTTGGGATTACGGTAAGATGCTCTTGTAGGGTACTGCTGATGACTTTGCATAACTTGTCGTTATCATCCAGGGTTTTGATTTCGCGCACTCTTCGCAAGCTCTCAAATGCTTTGTAGTATAACTCGTAGACCTGACTCATATGCGGATTGGTGACGACGACATAGGGGAGCGTTTGCATGTCTCGTATACGATGTGCTAATCTAACCTTGTCAATCAAAGCTACAGAAGCAGTAGAAAGAATTTCTATTCACCTGGTGGGAAGCTCTGTTCGCACATAATTCGCAGAGCTTATAAGCCGTGCTTCTGTCAACGATCGTCCGAAGACCATAAGTTGGCGCAGACTAATAGGTCTTGCATCTTTTGCTACCCACCTGGCATGGTCAGCAAAAACGTACGAAAGTTCAGATAGAAACTTCATATTCATACTCATCTAGTGGTGATGCAGGTCTCCATGGTGGTATATGTATCTTCGAGCATTGCTGTAAACGGCCAGCTACACATGCCAAATTTGTCACCTTGGTAGCATTTTGCGAAAATGATCGCAGCATACCGACGATTCCATGCGTATAGGAGGGGAAAATATCCACCTCAAACTGAACTCGATCTCTGCGAGTTATATTGTTGAGGAAGTAAGGTTGGAGTTGTACTCAGGACCCAAGACCTATCTCATGGTCTAGAAGAGATTTGGAGGAGGGATTTATTTACTTCTCTATGTGTACCAGGTAGCCTAAAGCTCAAGCTTGATTTCCACATACCTATAAAATCAGTATTCTATGGGGTATTTCTTTGCCGATGACCGGATGGACAACGATTAGCCCCGCTCTGCAGTTCCATTCAGTTACATTAAACCGTGATGAAACTTGATTGTCACAGTCACGTGTTTGTGTCACTATGATTACTAACGATCGGGCATTAATCGGGACTCAAAAGATCGAAGCAGACGAAACTCCTTAATAACACTCAAGTCTTTTTGTCGTATACGCAATGTCCAATCTAATAGGGACTTGTCGACTTACGTATGTTTATCACTCAAATTAGAGTGGCTTAGAACACGATGGAGAGCCCATAGTATTTATCTTCCTACGATGAAACAGGTAAGGTCTAACTATCAAAAGAACCGCTGGTGGTATGTATCAGGCTATATATATAAGCTTGGAATCATCCAATGCGACCGCAGCGATGGTGACTACAATGACCATTGCTATCACCAATACACACACGCCAAGTTCAAGTAATTTGAGACCGGAATCTACCTCCCCCGTAATGTTCAGTAATCATTCTTTGTTCTTGTAGACTTTGGATAAAGGCTTGGAATAATTGTTGGATGATATATCTCGGAATTTCGATCTTGAAAGTCTAAGATCATTCGACTTGGGATGTCATTGATTGCTTCAAAGAAAGGGAGATGGAATTACAGCGCCCGTAATCGCAAGCTGCTATGATACCCGAGCCCCTTCATCTGTTCGCCTGTTGATAGGACTTTATGCATGGGTACATTGATTCCTAACATACCAGACTTTGTGAAAGTTAGATAACCTCACTGAAATCTATAACTACAGGTTTGTTTATTTAACTATGATGCTAAGTTATATTTTACTTATGTGTAGCTTTTTTGATAGCTGTCTAAACGAGATCTCCGCTACTGAATCTAGATTGTACACGACCATCGATCTTCATGTACAGTACGACACTCCCGATCAAGTTATGCATATCACCAACCATGTGATGCGACGCGATGCAATACAAACAACCAGACGCCTACTCTTGAGGCACCAACGCTCGCTCCTGCCTCTGAATCACTCTTCCGATTCCCGAAAGTGTGTTTGCCTCCCGGCCATCAAACTGCCTAGATCTACCCAAATTTCAAAATTTGAAGTGAGGCCAAGAATTTCATCTACATCCATTTGCCTACATAAGATCCCTTTGAATCAATAATATACTTTTTTTATAGCTTTGACAAGCGCTGTGATGATTGATGAATAAGGATTGACTCATGTGAAGAAGCGCAGTGTGATCAGATTTGCAGACTTGCTTATTCCATGCAGCACGGTTTAAACACTATGTGATTGAAGGAAAGAAGAAGACGATTAAGCGCCAATCAAATCGACCCGAAATTGCTCTCAATCGTGCACCGTATTCCGTTTTTTTAAAGAATCCCATGAGTTTGGTTGTAAATTTACAAAGGATACAATAGACATAGATCAAGTGGCCAAAATATCGAAGCTCACTCGAACGGTTTGCCTCAAGCTTAAGCTCTGGACATAACAAAGAATCATTTATACTACTGTGTGAGTTATTCCGATCTAAATATTTAATGAGATTATAGTATCAGCAGGCAGGCTGGCTCTCTTACCCGAATTCTGTTCTGTTCTGTTCACGCCGTCAATATCAATGTCAACGAAAAGGGCCATCAATAAGAAGGCATTATTAGATACATTTTATTATATGACCTGTATCATCCAGACCACTCAAGGCAGTTTTATCGACGCCTATCTATCTAGCTTATTTTGGCGTACATTATGCTGAAATGCTCTCGTGAACATTTGTCACAGTGATTGATTCAATACTCGTCAACTTATTCTATATTTTATTGTGATCCAGAGCAACTTCAATGTGCAAAACCACCCAATTTACACATTTCATCTAGGGGTCTTTGATATCATCAACGTATATCTGATCCTAATCCTGATTCAGCTCTTGTTTGATGTTTCTTGTTTCTTAGTTTGTGCTTCGTGTTTGGATTGCTGTTATTATCATTACTATGATTGCTGGTATGTTGTTGATTTCATATTTCGTGTTGTGAACTTGTGAGAAGGACTAGGCATATATACATCTAGCTATATACCAATGGTAGTAGCTGACTGTCTACCCACCTACTACCTGCTTATGGGAAGTATGCTTCAATGAACAAAGTACATTGTACACTTCCTACGAAGAGAAAAAAAAAATAGAGCTGTGGGGCTGCGGGCAAAGCAAAGTACCCAAGTACCTCAAGTTAACGACCTAATAGGTTTAAACACCTCGACCCCATGCTCTACTACTACTCTAGATTGTACAAATCCGCCATGACATATTGGCTATTAGAACACCGAACGAACATAAGAGCAAATCCTATCATTCATCATCCATCATTCATCCCACCACCACCACTACCACCACAACCACAACCACAACCAACTTCCAACCTCCTACCTATCTAACATCGATATCCTCCTCTCATCTCCTCTCCAATCTCTTCCTCAATCTCCTCACTCGTTCACGTTTACGTTTATGATCACGAAACACATTAGTTAGAAATAATCCACAAGAATAAGATCTATCTCCCCAGTTACCACTCAGACTTATATTTACACCCACGCACCATACACCCGCGCACCCACCCATACATACCTACCTACTTACACCACCCGCACTTATACCTCACCTCAACCCTCAATAACCCCTCCAAAAAGAAGCACACACATATTCCCCTCCACGTTGCATCACAACATCGTTCAAATAATCTCTTCGCGAATGGACAATTTTTAACTTATATACCTGGTCAAATATGACCAGAAAAGATGGTTCATATCGTAATAGCTCTGCTACGAGCTCGAGCACTGGAAGTTGGAAATCTACTGATACGATAAAAGGCCCTGGCTACTTCCAGGGTTCATCAATGAAGAGAGGAGCTCCAATGCAGGTGAAGACGGACAGATCAAGGTAAGCAGAAAAATTGATAGTTTATAGAAAAAAGAAATCATTGTTTATTTATTCATATTATTTCCTTTCTTTTTCGGGATCTTTGATAGTTGTCTCACATGGGTACTTTTCATTCCAAATCCCCTTCATTAGCCCTGGAACAAAGCTTTGAACCTGTTCCATAACTAACGGCTTCGTGCATTTGACCTGGCAGTAGGGTAGAAATTGATGCTCAAGTTTCGCCGACGTCTGCCGGCCCTCGAAATACAATATCTCCATCTTCATCTATTTCTCCTAATGTATCCCCACGGGAGCAAAGAATGGCCGACTTCGGCAATTATCGACGTGATCTCGCAGTCCTCGAAACCTCTGGCGGGCGCATTCCTCAAATTCACCATAATCCACCAACAGCGATAGCCTCTTCAAATCAAATTGCTCCTTGGATGTCTAATGGCGGCAGCGCAACCGGTTCACCAAACGGCTTTACTAGTTTCTATAATGATTCGAGCGATGCATTGTCGCAAGCTTCACAGTTGTCGCCGGTTGCAAGGCCTGGGACTGCAGTAACGGGAAATACAAATGCGAGCGATTCACCTGCAGATGTATTGTTTGGCGACGGCGATGAGAGAAGACCATCTGTGGCGAGCATAACGACAGCAAGTAGCACTGGATCAAAGGGCAGTGTCAGTAGAGCAGTAGGTGGACTTCACAAAAAGTTAACAAGTTTCTTTGGCGAGGACCCTACAAGTTCCGACACGAGCCTTCCATCGCAGCAAGGAAAGGAGGCACGATCGCATTCATTTGCGCGGAGTCATCGAGACAGAAATCATTCATCTGCCACAGACCACGGACATTATAGAGATGCATCCCCAGCAGGTGGATCCCGACCTAGAACACCCGTACCATCTAGCGAAGTAGTTCCATTTTTATATCAGAATTCCCAGGTCAGTAAATTCGATCTTCACTAGTAATCTTCAATTCATGCCTTTCACTTCTCGACACGATTTCTTCTTTTTTCGATGCTTCTGAGATGAAATCATACGCTTCGTCAATTCGCTCTTATTTCTCTACAGACTCTCAATCCGTTGCTGAGAATGATATGGCAATAACGACCCTTTTTCAATGCATTGAAGTGTTTAACATGCACATGAAGCTAACGAGGATATATAGGATATATCTCTGTATGGAGAAGCTCCTGTGCGAGAGAACCTTTCCGGCCCCGATAGGGATCGCTACATAAACGATAGTTCGGATAAGCCACCTAAAACCTCATCGTCATCTAAATCTCATCATCTTCCCGGGCATCATCTACGTAATCGAAGCAATGATGACACTAGATCTTTGCGACCGACTATAAGTAGAGAGGAATCTGCATTCGGCAATCGCTTCAAGGACCGGAATAATCCCATGGGCACAGCTTCGGCCAACGCTTCCAACCCAAATCTTCAACGACCGAAGAGCCCAACACCGAGCGGCATGAGTACATGGAGTCAACCAACCAAGAACGGCAATGGCGACGCTCCATCTTCACCCAGAGACAACAGTAATAGTACAAAAAGGAGTCTCCTAAATCTGACCAGTAGATTCAAGAGGCACAAGGACAAAGACCACACACCGTCTCGCTTGAAAGAAACACCAGCACCTAGTCGGGCACCGATGAATGGAACCTCGCGGCAAGATGCAGGTAGAATATATGAATCGCCGGATCTCGCAAAATATAGCCAAGATGGAAGCATCACTGGATCAGAGCTCAACCTTGCAACCCAGTATACGAATGGCAGTGCTCGCCCTCCGGCTGGACGACAAGGCACCTTTCCCAAGCTACCGTTTCGAAAAGGTCGAGGGCGCGCAGAGGATACAGACCAAA